ATGCGATCAACCCCTGAGAAGGGGATGATGCAGCGCTGCCTTAGTATATACTACTGCATAGTGCGCTTAGAGGACGGATGCACTCTGATGTGCATCCGTATCGGTTTGGGACTGAGCGACTGAAGGTCTCTCAGGATCGGGGGGGGCGGGGGGTCTCAGGCGCGTTGCAATGCCCATTTGGCTCCTCTGAGGCCAGAAGGACCTCGAGGTCGCGCGTGAGTTTGTTGGGGGGGTCCGTTAGGACGTTTCTTGGCCTGCGGGGCCTGTACGGGAGGGGTGGGGGAGGGTCGTACGCGGACGCCGATAGGATGAGGGGGTTCGAGTGCTCTTCTGCAGATTTAAAAAATCGTTCCGAGCACTCTTTTAGGTGGGTTTGGATGGTGGGGAGTTGGAGGTCCCGGTGTAGGTCCGCGTTTCGGACGTACCACGGGGCTCCAGTGGCTTTGCGACAGAAGCGATTTTGAACAATTTGTAAATTCTTCAAGATCGCCGGTTTCGCGTGGGCAAAGGTAGGGGATGCGTAGGTTAACACCGGTCGTATGCAGACTTTATAGATTGTGCGCTTGTTTCGTAGGGACATCCTACTCTGTTTACCTATCATTGCGTTAAGACGGCTAAGATAGAATCGGGGTCGGAGCCTGTTCCGACTCGAATTTTATATGCTAGGACTGAGCTGGCCAGCGATCCATTACCTCACCCCCGCTATACTTTATTTTTCATTTATTCAAAAATTACATAGGTGCGAGCTTAAAACTATACGTACATTCATTAGGCATACAAATAGGCATATTTTTAGCGCAGTTGCGCGTCCGTAAGCATGATATTTTAGGTGTGACGCGCAAAAAATAGGTCTCCGTGATAATTATATTTTCCCCCTCCATAGGGCTTCGCCCTGCCACAGGGCTCTGCTGCCCCACCCACGCGCTCTGCGTGCGCCGGGTGGGGAGCGCGAAACGTTTTAGGAGATCGTTCTATACAAACTAATTTTGCCTTATATTTGGTACATTTCTATCTTTATCGATTTGATGCCTATTTATTTATGTAGTCCTATGCCTTATCTATCTAATACAATAAGTTTCTAACAAGAATAATAACAAACAACGGCTCTACAAGCCTATAAAGTTTACAATTTTAAAGGTCTTAAAAAACCTACTTACATTTATTTAATGCCTAACTATCATACATCATTCTATAGGGCAAGTGAAAATACACAAAATAAAAGCTTTATTATTAAAATTATACCTATAACCTATCAAATATTCATAAAAAACTATATTTAACGTTTCCCTTAATTACGCCTAAACTATTAAAGTGATCTATACAAAACTTTACTATCTTAATCCTATAGCTACCTATTTCCTAATAAAATATAAAACATACAAATTCAAACACAAAAACATACTATTTCCGAGAGCTAATAACTTAGGTAAAATCTTATAAGACTGCTAGAAAGAGACAGCCTATCGTCCCTGTCCCTCCTATCGGTCCGAACTATCAGATTCTAACACAGTTTCTCAGCGCCACCGCTTGGCGTCGTGGCGATCGATTAGGCAAATTCTTATAAGATTATGGGTTAGAAAGAGACAAAATATCGCTTTGAACTATCAATTTTACAATCAGTTTCTATGGGCAAAGCTCTCTATTATTGCGATATCCGACTCATTCTAATAAAACAGCAAGGAAGTAACTTTTTTAATGATCGTACAAAACAGTTACATGTGAAATTGCATCTATAGACATATTTTATAAATCAATCTTGTTTCGATGTAAACTTTATTTCTACTCGCTTCGGTCGTAAGGCGGTCGTCTCGTACAGGGCTCAAAGTTGGTCCCAGATAAATTTTGAAACAAAAATCTTACCCCAAGGGTGGTAATCGGATATAGGTGTGGTTGTTTACTTACAGATTTTGATGCCGAGTTGAATATTACAATAAAGCCACAGAAAATAATAAAATAAAAACTTCAGCAAAAATATTAAACCGCCAAAGACACTGAAAAGCAGAAAATAATCAACCCTTTTCATCATTAGTCATATTAACATTGGGAGTCGCTGTCAAAGTTATTAATGGAAATTGAGATCCATCAGACATGAATGGCACCGACTAAAATAAAAAGGCTTTATAATTTCAGTGTTTTCGGCGGTTTAATTTTTTTGCTATATATAACTAAGACTTAGTTTTAGTTGTCATAGCCGCGACAGAAATTAAATTTCGGTCTAGTACCCGATGGACCCTCCTAATTGAACCTTATCTAAAAAAAAGTACCCATTCGACCTCCTATCAAGAACATGGTGCCCATTGGACCCCGCTAATAGGTACTTAATAACATGATAGTACCTATTCGACCTCCTATTAAGTACATGCTGCCCATTAAACCCTCAAAGACGAACTTATCTATACAATAGGACCTATTGGAGCTCTAAACTTTTTAGCTAATTCTTTTGGAACGGTAATGTACAGTCGTATAGTAAAGTAACATTGTAAAAGAAATAAAAACACAAAAATTATATGTATAATTTAATCAGCATATTCATAAAATAAAACCAATAGAAATGATTTTTTATCAAATAGCTTAACTAAATTATACATATGGTTTTTATATCACACAGATCAATTATTGAAGCACAATTATTATGTATTGTAAATATTCATAAAATAAAATACCAATGCCATTCCTGGCAGCGGCGCAGGGAGTGATATATTTTTTATTTTGTAAATTACAATTACAGTATATTATTTACGTTCTTAGTTATTTCTGGTTTTTAAGTTTTTAAATATTAAGTAGCTTTAAGATTTTGTAATGTTAAATATTATGTAAATACCAATGTACATAATATATTTTATAAAAAAAAGTTTACTAATCATATTTTTACAATTAACGAGAGATTGCTTATTATTACTAAAACATACTTTAACTAAAGGATATCGTTTAAAAGCGATATTCGGTTTCTGGCAGGGAATATATATCATTTATGAGTTTATTTTATATTATAACATAAATAGATATTTTGATTTTTTTTATTCATCACCGAATAATTTAATCGTGTTTAATAATTGAAGAATTTTGTAAGGATGCTGGGCACCCTATCTAAATAACGTCATATTTTATTGAATGGCAGCTTAAAACATCAACTCAATCACTACGGCAAATGCCAATTAGTCCAGTCGTGTATGATATTCGTGAATCCTGGTAAACTTATTATACCAATTTATGATTGATTCCTCTTGAAATAAAATTCCCATAAAATACTTAATAATGTAATGAGAGATGAACAGAATTATTATCACTGCTTTAGTTACACATTGAACATAATATATTTGATGCTTGGTTAACAAAAATAGATAAATAATCTTGCCATTTGCCAATCAATAATTATATAAATTTATGTTATTGTATTATAAAAAAACGGGATAAAATTAAACTCTTGTTTTTATTTAAACGATTTACAATTAAGTGCACCACATATCATAGCAACTTGGAATCTGCCGAAAGGCCCACTACAAACCTCCATAAAAAATTTAACCGTCTTCTTTTGTAAAACATTATAAATTACCAATTTTAATATTTATGACACATTTGTGAGCAATTTTTCTAAGCCTAGGATATTAAGTTGAATTTTAAATTGCTGCAGTATATATGTAACTTTTGTATATTTTTCAATGCCTGTTCATTAATTCACGTCTACTCAGTTTGGTAATACTGACACTAGTCATAGTAGCATTCTTTTTAATTATACTTAGACAATTTAACATACTTGGTCATGAAATGCCACTCAATTGTTTTTGATCTTTGAGTGCCACCCTTCAACACTATTTGTTGTACGATGTCTCTCTATATGAAAACACCAGGTTCTTCGCATTTCTTCGTTTTGAAAACAAGTGTTTTGTACAAAGTCATTAATGTGACTAAATTTTCATTATCTTCCGACCAATCTTCCATAATATAAAACCAACCTTTGCCTGGGCCTAATGGTCACTATCATCTGTCTGCGTCCAGTATTTAAGGAGCAATTTTAGCAGTTATCTTTTTATTCTCCGGGGACGGAGAAATGTCGTTAATTCGAAGTAAAAAGGCAACCTGATTTCTTTATAATTTTTTTGAGGGCTGCTTACTGTTTGGAGTCAGTACATATACAGTATTTATTTAGGGGCTTTATAATACCTACTATTAATTGTATTTTTGTCTGCAATTTTCTACATGACTACTTTTCTTAACAAAACTGTCAATAAGGTCCAATGGGTCCCATAAAAGAGGTCCAATGGGCACATCCTATATAATCTTTTAGAGAGGTCAAATGGGGTACACAAATAAAGTCCAGTGGGTACAGTTGCAGTAGGGTCTAATCTTGAAGGTCCAATGGGCACGTTGAATATATTTTTTTTAAGAAAGTCTATTGAGCCATATAATTGAGGTCCAATGGGCACTTTTTGCTTTCAGGTCGAATCTTGAGTGTCCAACGGGTACTAGACAACTGTCTAGCTATCACGGTTCATGAGATACAGCCTGATGACAGACAGACAAACAGAGGGACAGCGGAGTCTTAGTAATAGGGTCCCTTTTTTATCCTTTGGGTACGGAACCCTAAAAAGAATAGTAAATGATCTTCAGATTGTCTCAAGTTGGACTTATTTAAACCGAAGAAAAATAACAACCCGCCTGTTATTTATTTCCTTTATAAACAAAATAGTTTGAATAATTTTTGACGATCCACCCAACGCTCTCTTTAACATCCCGCCGTAACCTGTCGCCATTGCTTGATTAGAGTATCCTAGTAGTTATAAATATGGTATGAAGTCACATGTTTATATACAAGACCTAATTAATTTAGGTTTTAATAAATATGAAAAGGAAAATAAGAATGCACGTTTTATATCATAAATGTTTATTATTCATTAGTATGTATGGTGTAAAACAACGATTAAGTATTCAAGTGGGACCACAAAACTTGACGGCCGTTTATGCAATATTTTCCGAGCGGAGCTGCGCGTGCGCACTGACCAACCAAATGCTGTTTAGCATCCAACCACGCTGCTTGTGTTACCTTTGTAATTAACAGTAACATTAAAATAACATTATACAATATGAAGTTGAGAGTGATACTCGTTTTCGTTTCCTTATTTGCAAGCTGTTACGGAGTTGTCGATGTAGGTGAGTACGAGATTTAATTTGTTACTAATACGTAACGTGTTTTGAGTTCGCAAATTGACCTTAACATACATAAAATGTAAAGTTTAGGGACATTTAAGTATATTGTTTACCTATTATAATTGTTTATGTTTTTTCTGCTGTTAAGTCAGGTGGGTACTACTTTAAGAGAGGTAGGGTAAAGTGGATTTTCCGCTCAAATTGGAGCGCCTGTCTGGGGAGGTCAACTCAACAGAGGCTCACAGTAAAATAACACTACCTTTTGGTGGTGTCGTGTTTCTGGCGGTGAGTGGGGTACCAGGGCTACACGAGGTACGGGATTGGTTCAGGGTAGGCTACGGTGCGAGTGATAATTGTTGTATCACAAGTAGGGCTATTATTTATAAATTTGAAAAGTCCTGACAAAAAGCCAGACATTTCGATAAAAGTCCGGACATTTTAGTCACAATATGTAAACTTAGTTACAGTGGTATGATACGCGTGGTAGCAGACGCTCGCATCGCGAGGGGGCATCCCTCTCGCGACTTAAAACTAGGAATTAGCGCTAGCGTTAACTTAATTTTTCCTAAAACTGATTGTCGGTTTTGAAGAAAACATTTGATTGTTTGCAATAGAAGGTTTTATTGATTGATCTCGTTGTGTTGATTTTTAAAGATGATTTATATTTTGTTTATTAAATCAATGAGAACTTAATAAATATTAGTTCACTTATTTAATATAAATTAATGAGTAGTTTTATTATATTCTATTTAATTAAAAAAATCCGGAAAAAAAGTCGGACAAAGTCCGGGCAAATGGCAAAAAGTCCGGACATGTCCGGACAAATCCGGACGGGTGGTAACCCTAATCGCAAGCATATCTATAGGCTGTGGTGGCCGCTTACTAGCAGGCGAGTCATATGCTTGTTTGCCACCCTTTTAACTTACGAAAGGCTAACGTAAAGTTATTTTATTTTTTCAGAAAAATTCCTGAAGGTATGTGATCGTAACTCAGTGGATGTGAACGACTGCTTGGTTGATGCCGTGCAGGAGGGTCTCACAGTTATGGCGGATGGCATAGAAGAGCTGGACGTGCCGCCGGTCGACCCTTATCATCAGAAAGAGCTCCGTGTCGAGTACAAAAACAATCAGGTATTTTAACCACATTAGATTCATCTGTATTTGTATATTGTTTTATACTTTCATGGTCACTGACATTATAGTAATTTATGTTATTTACGGGATTGTTACCATGTACCTTGTTTTAGCGAGTTTCAGAGGTTTCCACGGATTAACTGATAGTACCTACTCCGTTCGGTTCAGTTGTATATGTCATATCATTGAGTTACTCCGTATCCGTAATCATGGCGCTACCGACAGTGCCGAAATATCGGAAAGTGAATAAAACAAGGTATATGGTAGCAAACCCATAAATAACATAAATAATAATTATCTTTATGTCTGTTTTTAAACTTATACTACTCACCTATAAATAATCGCTATAGTTAGTCTACACATGAGAATCATTCAAGAGAATGTTTCATGATTGGCGTGTTTTCTTTAAGATGGATGAGCGCCGTAACATATATTTTTAGATCGTGTCATAATTAAGAAGGTAATAGATGTTATTGAAAACTGGACCGTAATTTTATACATCTTCTATATTTTGTACAATCATGATATGCAATAAATGTTTGACTTCCTCCGTCTGAACTTCACCCTAATATCGCATATCCCACAATTTAACGACACGACCGACGCCACATTTGGAATTAGTGAGGTCTACCTTGTCTTCTGGAAACTTAAGCTATGACTTTAGTAGTCTAATGTGTCCGTTGATTGGCTTTTACTATCTGCACTGAAATCTACTCATGTTTACCTTTCACACAGTCCTGCATGAGAGCTTAAACATAACGATGTAACATCGAAAAAAAGCTATAACCCGATTAAACGAACCTACACTTGACCTTACAGAAAACTGAAGATAAATTTTAATACTTATGTGTAGATTCTTACAGAGTGAATGTATGTTTCAAAAGTTTGAAGAGGTAGGAGAATTCGATTCAGGCAAGGTCAAGGTGGCTGAAATTTCAAGTTATTGTAATGAATCGAGCTATATGAAATTACTATTAAATTTCACACTATCTTGTAATGAACGCTTAAAGGTGATCACAGACAGTGAAGATACTATATTGTTTAAGCTTAAGATAGAATATCGTTCGCCTTACAATCCAATGGGCCATCACACACTTCGAAGACAACATATATTTTTATATTAAGTATCTTAAGATGTAAACGATACGGAAATATATATTTTGCATCTTAAGATACTATCTTAACTTATGAAATACATATTTTGAATACGAAAAGATGTGTATACAGGATTGTTCCTGTTCTCGGTGCGGACTGCGGGGCGGGGATTTTTTTCATAATATCTTCCTTAATCAGATTGTGAATTGCGAGAAATGTTTGCTTCGACTTCCTAAAATACATTTGAAACTTTTTCATTGAAAAATCTTCGTGAAGATTAAATTTCCCGCGTTCTTTTCTGATCTTCTTTTTAATGTGATCTGCTATCCAAATTGATCTAGATTTCAAATGAGCTCAAATCAAATTCCAGGTCAGAATCATCGTCTGATGAGCTGTCCAATAAGTCTAATAGCAAATCTGTATTGCTCATTTTTGATCACCCTGTATAAAGATATTTTACAGAGAAAACGTCTGGCACCTAGTTCGGATTTCAAGAAAAAGTGAAAAGATTTCAAAATATACTGGATCTTAACCGTGTGTGATAGTTTAATATGCTATTTATCTTATGAAATCTTAAGATAAAATATTATATCATCTTCACCGTCTGTGATCGCCTTAAGGTGGGCTTTCTTAGCGAGCGTCAGCGAAGCCGCGACAGAGCGTCAGATAGAATTTCTATGTTAATGTCAATGTCAGCGTCGGTCAAAGCGGCACTGACAATGTCATTGGCATAGAAATTCTATCGGAGGCTCTGTCGCAGCTTCACTGACGCTCATTTCGAAAGCCAACTTTTAGAGTAGCGAAAAAATGTGATGTTTAAACTTAACCTTTTGATTTCAAATGTTCAATGCATATTCCGTTTGACCCTGAAAGCCAATTTTAAATTTTATCTCAAAAACAATCCCGAGGAACTTCGTAATTGTGCCGAAAAATAAATGATTATTTTTCAGACCTATTTTTAGTTTCTTTATATTTAACTTACTAATATTATACAGGTGAAGAGATTGATTTTTGTTTGTTAGGTTGAACGCGCTAAACTCGGGAACTACGGGTCCGATTTGAATATTTTTTTTTGTGTTATTTAAAATAACGCTTAGACTAATTAAAAATAATTTAAAATATTCCATTGGTCAAAATTTTATTGTTCCCGTTTAAAAGAAAGTTCTATAAAAAAGTGCGCGGCAGCATATATGACCCACTATAAATATTTTCCTTAAATTAATGCGGCTGAAACCGTAGAGCACCTTTAGTAATGTTCATGAATTAAAAAAAACTATTTTAGTAACTCGAAAGAATTGTATTTAGGCGATTATTATTTTTTTAAGTAAAAAGAAGCTGTATCAATCTCGTTTCTCTTGTGTCACTGTGATATTTACCTATTTAATTAAGCATTTAACTGCTAGATGTTTAAATCTATAGAAAATAACAGAAGAGAAGAGATGGAGCTGCCTTGCAGCCTAAGGCTAGAGAAAATTCGACACGGCCGTCAGGGCCGCGGTGGCATAAAGTTCAGTGCATTCGCGCGGATAGCGAAGGGTACGGGTTTGAGTCCCGTTTGCTGCCTGGTCCGCGTGGATTTTTTCTAGTAAACTTTTCTTTAGATTTAAACATCTAATAGTTAAAATAAAATGCTTAAATAAAGAACACAGAAAACTAAATGAAAATACCATTTCATATTGACGCTGCTTTTTAAGTTATTAAAAGATTTAAAAAAAATATATTAAATTAAATAAGTCCGTTTGAATTGGCACTTATTTTTCGCCGCCTTTGTATTCATGCAAAACAGCCAAGTTTTTAATGTACGATGGGTGGCCTTATTAATGTGTACAAAATTATATATATTTACTTAAGGTAGGTATTCATGAAAATATTAGAGAAGAACATTAATAATATTAATATAAATTGGCGATCTAACCTTGCTTTGCGTTTCGTTGTAGATTAAGTAAGTATGCTTATACTGTCATGTTATATTGTTGTCATGTATTACACCGTGTAACAAAATTTAAAAATCCTATTAGGATAATTTTCTAACTGATGGTGAAAGTTCGTGAAAATTCGTATAATACGTGTAAGTTGTTTTGTACATATTATTTATTATTTGGACCAGCGCGTGTCGGCGCTTATCGGATCTTATCGGCGCTGATCGGCGCCGATCGGCTTTCTTTCTGTATACGGCCTTAAGCATCGGTTAGGAAAACATGTAGTCCGAATCAATAGTGATCGGTTGCCTTGGGTCAATCGCCTACAACCGTTACTGATATAAACTGCCTTATGGGTTTGTATTTATAAGAAAAAATTCAAGAGTAAGGTACTTATACCTACTAACTTTTTGATTCGTAATTAGTATGTATCATTATTATACGTATATGAATAGTATAAGATTTGTAATCATGTGTTCGTAAAATAATGATGGAAAATTTATTCAGATGAGTTTGTATTTCCAAGCAAGTGCACACACACCTATCTACTTTGCGGATTGCCTCTATTTAAATTAACATATTTACTTAAAAATAAAAGATTGTTAATGGTCGGTACACACGAAAACGATTTATCGTGACGATTTGACTGTGCAGTCCGTTTGTGCAGTTTAAAGGTCACAGGAATGCAAATAACATTTTGTGGGACTAATCTCGGTCTAAAAAAATTGCAGGATCCCACTGACCTGGCAGGATTACAGATAAGCGTGTTTCATACGTGGTACTTGACGCTCGGCGCTTATGGACGAAAGAGTTTCCTTTCATAGAACTTTTAATAATATTTTTTACTAGTGGGTGCCCGCGACATCGTCTGCGTGGAAATATCACTCGCCGGCAGCGTCCACCTGAGTTTGCTTGTCGACCATCGCATGACGACGAGGCGGTGCCGGGTGGCTTTAATGAGCTGTGACCTTAATTGTTTTTCCTTATTTAATAGAAAAATATGTCGTACCTAGTCAGTAATCATAAAAACTTGTTTTATGTTTTGAAATAGTATTAGTTTTATTGGAAACGTGACTTTTTGTTAAATTTTTGTTATTTGTTGTAATATTTTTAGGGTTAAAGTGAGTCAAACTTAAAAGATGGACGTTTGCTGTTCCGGACTTTTGCATTGAACTTTTTGTTAACTTTTATGTTTATAATATCAAAGGCCGTTTTTGTTCGGCATAATATATCAGATTTAATTATTAAAAGGTATAGGTAAAGACATAGGAAAAAATACAAAATGGAAAATAAACCATTGACAACTCATGCCAGAACACAATATTTAAAAAAGGACTATTCATCAACATAGTTTCAGATTTAACCGCTGTAAATTTCAGCCCGATCCGTCCAGTGGTTTGGGCTGTGCGTTGATAGATCACTATGTCATTCAGTCACTTTTGAGTTTTATTTATATAGATACTACTAGCTGTCCCAGCAAACTTCGTACCGCCATAAAAAATAAATTTTTGAATTCGAATTTCGAATTGTTCATGAAAATAAAAATGTATACTTTTTAGAATTATACTCATTTTTAAATATGGAGTGGACGCTTAAAGATGACCGTGTTGCAGTTATTGCGCTGCATCGTTGCGGTTACGCGCCAATTAAAATTTTTGACATACTGAAAAATTTGAATATAACCAAAATATTCGTTTATTGTACCATCAAACGATATAATGAAGACTCTAGTGTAGATGACAGGTCAAGAAGTGGTCGCTGTCGGTCTGTTAGGACTCCAGCAGTGATAAAAGCTGTGAAGGCGCGAATTCAAAGAAATCCCAAACGTAAGCAGAAACTGTTAGCCCTTCAGATGGGGTTAAGCAGAACCACGGTGAAAAGTGTGTTAAATGAAGACTTAGGCTTCGGGCATATCAAAGAAAAACAGGGCATCGTTTGAATGCTCGTCTAATGGACCTGAGACTGAAGAGATGCCGCGCTTTGTTGAAGGGGTACGCGGGAATAAATATCGGGAAAATCTTTTTTCGGATGAAAAAATTTTTACCTTATTAGAGAGCTACAACTAACAAAATGATAAGGTGTACGCACACAGTCGTGAAGAAGCGAGCAACCGTATTCCGCGTGTCCAACAAGGTCATTTTCGTGAGAAAGGTGTAAAAACGAATGCATTTGTGTATCAAAATACAGTCCTGACGAACCTTGTGAAACCTGTTTCTCATACCATGTTCAATAACAGGCACTGGGTATTCCAACAAGATTCGGCGCCAGCTCATAGAGCGAAGAACGCACAAGACTGGCTAGAGGCGCGTGAAATCGACTTCATCCGGCACGAAGACTGGCCCTCCTCCAGTCCAGATTTGAGTCCGTTAGATTACAAGATATGGCAACACTTGGAAGAAAAGGTGTGCTCAAAGCCTCATCCTAATTTGAAGTCACTCAAGACATCCTTGATTAAGGCAGCCGCCGATATTGACATGGACCTCGTTCGTGCTGCGATAGACGACTGGCCGCGCAGATTGAAGGCTGTATTCAAAATCACGGAGGTCATTTTGAATTAACTTTATTGTCATAAGAATCTATGTTTTGTTAAGTTCATTTTGGTATATAAATCGTTACATAATGAATAAACTTGTTTCAATAATTTTATATTAAACATGTGACAGAATTTATGACCTGACTAGGTATTAGAAAGTATCGATATGCCTAATAGGTATTATGAATGACCTTCAAATGAAAAATAATTATCTTTAATTTCCAGATATTGGCGAAGTTCGTCGCAAAGAACATATACGTCGAGGGACTTAAATCATCAAAAGTTCTCGATACAAGGTGAGAAATAATTAAGTTTGTGTTCGAGATCCCTACAAACTACAATCGCTATTAATGTATATCTGTCTGATCTGAAACGAAATCGTTTCATTTTATTTGTATCACAATCAGAACCAGTTTAAAAGCGGTTTTGTAAATTATTTCTTTATTTTGTGAAGTTTGCGTTCTGCACTCTAAAAATAAGTGTCGGTAAGGAACTCAATATAAAACAACCATTTAAAATGTTTTTAGTCAATAGTAACGACAAGTTTAATTTATAGACTTTCACCATCTTCAGTATCTAAAATTATTATATCTTCGGTTTTTTAAAAACGATAGTAGATAATTATGTTCCGTTCCATACGTACGTTCGACCTTGATCGTGAAGCAACCGTTGCTTGATCTGCTTGTGCATGCAAGTTCCATCTGGTACACTTCTTACAAAGTGTTTACGTTCTTCAAAATCAATCTTTTTATTAATTTTTACATTTTATATACTGCGGTAATTTACTGCACTTTTTGAATGTGAAACTGGGTTTTAATATGGTGTAAAATTATAAATGTTAAATATGTGTAAATCCATATGCCACACCGGCATCAAGCGGATTTATAATATACTAGAATATTTTTCAATAACTATTCCCAACGAGCATGAGTTGGTGTATCTCCTAGGATTAGACATAAAGTCAAAGGACGAAACACGCTTTTTCAGCGATTCTCAAACGTTTCTACCGCCCATTTTGAAAATCTATTATTTTCCAGCGCCCACGTAAATTATTAACTTTACAAAGTTAAAAAAAAGTCATCTTATTATAATTTAACGCTGAAGACAAAACTTTTGGTGTTTCTTGAATCTATGGCGCTAACGCCCCTACTATTTGGCGTATGAATTGATGTTTGCTTTACAAAAAATGTATGGCGGCCCTGATTTTCGCTTAAACCATATCTTATTCTTGTATGAGTTATGAATTTTTGTGAAAAAAAAGATCCTCGTTTCTGTAAAGTTATTAAAGTGGTGTTTAAGCGATTTTGGTTTTCCACTGTCGATTATAAAACGGCTAGTAAATTAAGAATAAAAATTAGAATCTGCATTCAACATAAAATATATGCTACACAGAATAAAAAAATACATAATATGATGCATTTGCATCAATATTGACTACTTCCGTTCATTCGAGCTTCTTCTTGAAGTTTTTTCTCATAATTATACCTACTCATTGAATTATAATGGGCAACTTTAACACCTGTCTGATAAAAAATGATTTCCGATGCAAACAGTTACGTTCAGTAATTAATTCTTGTATTGTGATAAGGTACGCCCTCCAAAACAAACTATCTATAATGAATACTTTTTTCCACAAAAAAGAAAATAAGAAATGGACCTGGATATCACCAAATCAAAAAGTGAAAAACGAAATTGACTTTATAATGACAAATAGACCTAACTAACTAACAGGCCATTATACATATCATTTATTGATTACAGCAAGGCATTCGACAGCATAAGCCACAACTCAATTTGGAATGCACTACAAATACTAAAAATCAACAGGAAATACATTCATATCTTAAAAAACATCTATGCACTAGCAAAATAAAGCTAGAAAGAAGAGGTAAAGAGTTTAAAATTGAAAGAGGCACAAGGAGACCCGATATCCCCTAAACGTTTTATTGTGGTCCTTCAATATATATTTAAAAAGTAAAATGGGAAAATAAAGGAATCAAAATTGGAAATAACTACTTGAGTCAGCTAAGATTCGCTGATGACATTGCTGTATTTTCAGAAACAGAATCAGAATTAGAAGGTCTGAATGAGGAAAGTTCTAAGGTGGGCCTGAAGATGAATAAAAGAAAAAATAAAAATCATGACCAACAGTTACAAGAAACCTATCACAGTAGCGAGTAGTGACATTGAATATATTGATAAATATATCTACCTAGGAAAACAAGTATATTTCACCAATAAAGCTAGAGAAGAAGAAGTAGAGCGAAGAATAAACTTAGCTTGGAGAAAGTTCTGGTCCCTAAAAGAGATTTTGAAGGGAAACCACAGTTTGGGTAACAAAAATGTAGTGTTGGACACATGCCTGGTACCATGCCTACTATATGGATGCCAGTCCTGGGTTTTCACAAAGAAGGTAAAAAGTAAAATCAGTACCATACAGAGAGCAATGGAGCGGAGTATCTTAAAAATCAGAAAGGTCCATGAAATAAAGAGTACCGCCGTAAGAGCAAAAACAAAACTGACTGATGCTCTCGCACATGCTCTAAAACTAAAGTAGCGCTGGGCTGCACATGTCTGCCGCCTTACAGACGACAGATGGTCTATAAGAGCGACAAAGTGGACAAAACCCACAGGAAAAAGGAGGGTTGGCAGTCCATACAAACGATGGGCAGATGACATTGTAAGCATAGCCGGTGAGAACTGGACCAAAAAAGCCAGCAACAGGGACGCGTGGAAGAAAATGGAGGAGGTCTTCACCCTTTCAGGGGACCATAATTATTAGTATATAGGATTAAAAAAATCAGTATGTTAGTTCAATTATGGTAAATAAACGGCTTTTTTTATTTAATTCTTCTAATATGCATATTCTTCCTCTCTCTGCGACGCATAAATTTCCAAACTGCACCCCTTCTCTGCTAGACCTTATAATAGTATCATCTCCAGACCATGTTGTGAAACATGGTCAATTACCTGCTTGTCAGTTTTCTTATCATCAACGGATGCCAATCGTGCCAGATATAGGGAATTAAGGAATCGCTGCACATCACAATACATTGATCAGGAATAAACAAAGACGCCACATTCATACGTCTGTCGAAATGGTGACACCGCCAAACTTTGGCTTTCTCAATAAGCTTGGTATTGGCAAATCTAAACGCAACTCTACCTCTCCTTCAAATATTGATATCAATGCTTTAAATGCTCACTTTTCCTTATCTGCGTCCATGGATGGAATAATCAAAAGTTATACTTTGATACACTTTCTTCGTCGTCAACACCATCTTTTACTCCTTTTTTCATAAAACAATTTACTGAGTGTGACATTGAGAAGAATATCATTGCTGTATCGTCCAATGCTGTGGGTAACGACTGCATTAGTCGTAATATGATCATTCCTCTTCTAGATATCCTCACTCTGGTAATTACGAAAATCCTTAATAAATCCATATCGTCATCTGTTTATCCTTCGGCATGGAAAGAAGCTAATATTATTCCTTTTCCTAAGAAATCCAAACCTGATTTCAATCCGATTTACGTCCCGGTCATAGTAAGACTACTGCACTTTTCAAGATCGCTGATGATATACGTTTGGGTATGGAAAATCGCAGCTCTCTGTATTAACACTGTTAGATTTTAGTAAGGCATTTAATATGGTTGATTTTGATATCTCATTGGCAATGTTGGTTTCTCTCAATTTATCTCCACCAGTGATAGATTGGTTTCATAGTTACCTGCATGGGCGGCGGCAGCGCATAGGCGTGGATTTATATTTTTCATCATGGTGGCGATACAACAGCCGGCGTTCCGCAGGGTGGCATTTTGTCTCCTCTTCTCTTCTCTATATTTATAAATTTTATAACTCTTCCCCTTTCTTCTTCCTATCATATATATGCAGACGATCTCCAAATTTATACTCAAACTTCTATAGATGAACTACCTACAGCCATCTGACTGGAGTCGGCGACACGGTCTGTTGGTTAACCCGCGCAAAACTCAGGCTATAATTATTGGAAGCCATTAGTATAATTCCAGAATCAAGAATAGCGCTCTGCCACCAATCTTGTTAAACGGCATCCGCATACCACTTCAGGACACTGTTAAAACTCTTGGTGTGTTGTTTGACAATAACTTGTCCTGGAGCCACCATGTTGGTGAAGTAAGTAGGAGGGTATTTGGCACGTATGGCTCGCTGAAACGCCTAAAAAACCTGTTGCTGACCAAGACCAAAATTTTTCTTGCACAGTCTCTTCCTCTCCCGTTGCTTGACTATGCCGATGCATGTTACTCTGATCTTACTGTTGTTCTTCTTAGTAATCTCGAGCGTCTGCAGAATTTATGTATCCGATTCATTTTCGGTCTGCGTAAGTACGACATTATCTCTCATTATCGTTACCAACTTCAATGGCTACCCATTTCTCGTAGAAGAGACTGCCACATCCTCTCACTCCTTTATTCTATCCTTTTTCATCCACACACTCCCCTCTACCTTAAGGAGCGTTTCACTTTTCATTCCTTTAATCATGTGCGTGATCTTCGGTCTTTTCATAAGCTATCCTTAGTTATCCCACCCCACTCCACTGATTTCATTGCCAAGTCATTCTATGTAAGAGCTGTTAAATTGTGGAACTCTTTACCTCTGAATATTAAACGTACACAGACGAGGGATTCTTTTACTATTAAAATAAAGGAATATTTCCTCAAGCTGGACTCTGCCTGATCTTTTTATCTGTTAATTACTTTGTATTATATTTTATAGCTTCCTTATGTACTTACTATTTTTATATTCTTATATTTGCGTTTATTTATTTATTTTTAAATTGCACTAGTCCGCTGCTGGTCTGGTTTCATTAAGCCAAAGGTTGCCTGGTAGAGATTGCTACCTTAGCAATAAGGCCGCCTTTTGTGTTTGTGTTCCTGATTTTTATGTTTTATGTATTTGTGTAATAGTACAATAAAGCATATTCATTCATGCAGCAGGTAACTAATTTGTTAAAAACAAATGTTCAAAAAAATCGATTCTACATCCCCTAATTTTCTTTGGATATTAACTAGGCTTCCAGTGCCCACTTTGAGAACTGTACTTATCAGTATAACTATCGGTTTTGACTTTCACTATGAGTTCAAGTCAAACTAAAGGTTTAGCTCAACAATTTTAAAAGTGCCAGAGCTTCGAAGTTGATTATAATATTATGAGTACATGAAATTTATTTGATACGCTTGATGACGAGGTAAAAAGCAATAAACTGAGCTAGTGCAACCTCGATTTCTGAGTAAACTCGTCGAGAACTCAACGCGATACTTAAAGGTACCTATTAGATGATTACAATAAGTACTATGGAAACAGTTACGTAATGTCCTCGGTTACGTTTCCTACAATTATAATAAATACTGTTCCAGCTGGTATCATTGTTTTTAATTGTCAATTCACTCCCAAGGTGGTTGGTACATAAGTATTTTCGGGCATTATTAATGAGATGATAATGATATATTATTGAAATAAAAAATACTGAGTTCATTTAAATTATATCATAAAACAGCTTAAAACAGGTCTATTGACATAACTATTATTAACTTAATAAGTCGCATTTGCCCTTAAGTATGTATGTTGTACGTAAATATATCAAGCGTTTGTCGTATACCCTGTTAGTGAGTTCATTAATGTAATTATTTAATAGCATTAGTGTATTTTATTCTGTTCCCACCTTTAATAAATAAACTTTCCTCTCATTCCTATCTCCTTCCTCTTTCTTTTTTTTTTGCAAGCGTAGGTAAAACACGAGAATATAAAATTTTGAGAACTAAATGCTTAAATACCTAAGCACATGTTTCCCTGAATATTACTCGCTCCAAATTTAAATGCACTTCAATGACTTTAATTAAATCCATGTTGTTCATAATCTAAGTTTTCCGTTAACACACAACCTCTATGCTCTATGGTATAATTAGCGTAGGGAGCGAGTTAGTTACTATATTAATATGTTTTATTACCGTTCTCGTAATATATTCACACGAGTTTGTATTATTACTAAATCGGGCGACGGTATCTGCAATACAACTTTTTAAACTATCAACGCTCCAACCTAATGCCTATTGTTTATATTATGTACTTACTTACAAAAATAGTGGTTTTATAATTCATGATTAGGTACTTGCAACTTGTACTTCATAGCAATCTTCGCATCTAGTCGCATTAGTTTAGTATTATGAACTTTATCGCAGACATCTCACTCACTATCTCACTTTGGACTTTTAAAACGTATCCTGGTTAAGATCTTATATATAAATCCAATATATTTAATAGTTCATTTAAATTATTGACGGGTCCACAAAAATAAAATAAAATGATGTATTTCCTGTCTTTTTAAAAATTATTTAAAACCTCATTATAGACGGTACTGAATTGTTAACACGCCATAAAAAAATAGATAAAGATATGTAAACTGTCATCATCATCATCATTTAAACCGTACGACGCCCACTGCTGAGCATAGGCCTCCCCCAAGGATCTCCACATCGATCGGTCCCATCCCGTGCCAGGTCTTCCCACCGAGCGTCGTCCGGTGCGTGGACTCTATTCGGGAACCTTTCCGTCCCAACGGCCATCGGTTCTCCTCGCTATGTGTCCCGCCCACTGCCACTTCAGCTGAGCAATACTTCGATCGATTTCTTACTTTATTACTCCTGCGGATTTCCTCATTTTTGATTCTATCACTCAGGGAAATACCAAGTATCACTCTCTCCATTGCCGGCTGTGCGACATAGAGCCTTCATATGAGACCCATAGGTAACTGTACAAAGTGTTTGTTTTACTTAAAAAATTTCAGTCTATACATATCGTGGGTCTTATAGAATACTTAGTTACAACTAAAAATATTAAAAACATTTTAAGTATTTATTTGAAATAATACTCTGTACTTCCTTTTTTAAAAATAATTACCAGTGTATGTTGTACCACTACAAAAAACCTAATTTTGACTACCTACTTGATTAAATTAGTAGATTCATAAAAAACAGCATATCTATAAAAATAATAGATTAAGGTAGAATTGAGTTTTTTGTATTCCAACTAAAGTTACACAAATAAAAACACAATGTATACTTATGACTTAAGGCACTCTCATTATCATTAATTTATATTCAGTATTTTATAATTATTTGTTCATTATATAAACTATAACGTATTAATCTGAATTACAGTTTTTATGTATTTTATTGAATTAACGAAGATGAAGTGCAGTGGCGAAGTGTTTGGCAAAAACTTTTTTATATTAGTAACCTGGGGCGTTACTTTACGCGTATACGAGCGATATCTTTGGACAAGTATATTATTGTAGTTAATTTTTACTTTTTAAATTTTTAACTGCTAGATGTTTAAATCTAATGAAAATTTTGCTAGTAAAATTCACCGCGTCAAGCAGTAGACGGAACTCGAACCCGCACCCTCCGCTATCCGGGCGGATGCACTGACCAATTATATTACCGCGGCCTTAGTGGTCGTGTCGAATAATTCTAGTATTTCTTAGGCTGCAAGGCGTCGCCCTTTTTTCGTATTGTGGGTAACCCATGATGTCAAACGAATACCTTTGCAAGTATTAAATAGTTGAAAGAAGAAATAGCAATTGCAGTTAAGGCTCGAATCCGGCCTTTTTTTTTCTAGTAAAATTTTCTTTAGATTTAAGTCTTATATTGTGCAGAGCAATTCGACTAATTAGAAAATAGAAAAACTGGTAATTCGTCTAATCCTCTTTTCATCAAATATGTAATTTACCAATTACGACATTGGTCAAGTGTGTCCAATACGTATTTTATTAAAAAATACGTAATTAATTAAAAATTGTTTTACTGCACGATACATAGACAGTTAAGTTTTAACAAAATATAATAATTTCAGGCTTCGCGCTGATGAAGACCGGTTTCATATGGAGGTGGATTTAACAACGCCACTTGTTCATGTGCACGGCTCCTACCGCGGAGAAGGTCGTTACAACTCGCTACAGATTCTCGCTTACGGACGATTCGACACAAACATGAGTATGAAAACCGCCATCATTTCTCGTTCAATTTAACCACATTTTAACCATCATGAAACGCACTTTCTATAACTATGTATAACTTTGATAGCTGTGTTTTTTAAATTTTGATTAAATCTAATTAGAGTTCAGAGGTAGCAAATAACCCAGTTTATTTGCTGTGTGTAGTGTAGTTATATATACAGGGCGTCCCACGGTTACCTCACACGGAGGGAAAGTATGTTAAATATTGAAGATAGGATATTTTACTGAAAGAATACATCATTTTATTTTTAATAATAAGAAGAACTGCATTCACAGATTTTTTAAAATCGCCTGCTACAACTGGGAATCAAACTCGTGAAATTTTGAAAAAATAAACACAGCATATTTTTTAATAACCATCGAAAGGGTTAATCACAAGGATTATTTTTTGCTATATAACATAGCATTTTTAATGAAAGGAATATCTTATTACATGATAAAAATAATAAAGTGATATACAAACTGTAGTACGTATGCATTTCTTTTTGAACTCACAGTTACAATGCGATTGGCTGAAATTTATAAAAATAATAATTCGAAAATGGAACACATAAATTTTCAAGCGTCTGCAATTTTATTTGATTTTTTTTTGTTAATTTACTTACCATGGCGTATCAAAATAAAATATTTTAATGGAAGGTTACTTTATGAATCACAAAAGACACAATATTAGCTTTGCTGTGGTACCGCGAAAGATACCCTGATAGAACCGTACCTTCTCGATATGTGTTTAAAAGGTTAGTGGATACTTTACGAAATTTAGCATGTTTTGATATGTGCTTACAGAAACCACAGCAGCGGATGATAAACGTCAACGATGATGAACTAAACATTTTAACTTATTGAGGCGTATCCGATTTTATATTAGTTTGTTTAATAATTTTAAATAAAATGTTAAATTAAATTACTTTTCTTTTATTTAAGATGCTATGTTATTTAGCAAATAATAATACTTATTATTTACCCTTTCAATGGTTATCTTAAAATATGTCGTGTTTTTTTTCTAAATTATCGAGTTTGAATCCCAGTTGCAGCAGGTGATTTTTAAAAAATCTGTGAATGCAGTTCTAATTAATATTAAAAATAAAACGACGTCTTCTTACAGTAAAATATCCTATCTTCAATATTTAATATACTTTCCCTCCGTGTGAGGTAGCCGTGGGACGCCCTGTATATATATATTGATATTTTAAATATGTTTTTACAAATGTGAATTTTTAAGCTTAGAAATATTCAAAAAATAGTTTAAGAGCTATAATCACGCCCATTGTGTAATAGAACTAATACTGTTTGTTTTGTTTTATAGCTGTTTCTTTTAGAGTTTTCTGCAATAAATAGATTTTAATTTGTTGAGTGTTAGAAAATAATTAATTATCAAGGTGGGCGGTAGACACAATAAGTTTGAAAATCCTGTAGCCTAAGCTTATTATTTATAGAAGAAATTGAGTTGGTCGTATGATCAGTACATTGCGTAGGATGTTGGTTCGTTTCAAAGCTGATACCTGGGTACAAGCTGGGTACAGATACTCATTATTAATTGTACAAATAATAAATATGTACTTACTTTGTTGTACAGCGGACTTAGTATACACATGGAAGCTCGACGGAGTTCCCGAGACAAATGAAAATGGAACATTTATTCGTATCACTGATTTCTACATGCGACCTGATGTAGGGGATATGAAGTCGTACCTGTCCAATGACAACCGAGAGAGTCGAGAATTAAGTAAGTCACACCACTCAGATTAACTTAACTAATTTAATGTTTCTTTAAAGTTAATCTAGTCATTTATTTTGCGACAGTAACAGAATAGGTGAACACAAAGCATTACATTTATTTGATGTGCCTGCTGGAGTGAAGTAGCCATTAGACGAGTTCCAATTCGAATTCAATAGTTAGGTGTTTAACAAATAATTATTTGCTGTAGGTACAACAACAATAGGCCTTTGTAACAGAGTTGAGTCGTTCGTGAATGAATCCTTCGATTGGAGAATTGGACTACTCCACTTAGCCAGTATATCTCCTTCAGTCCTTCATTCGGGTCCCAATTAGTTCATGCGCTTATTAGACTACCCAATTTTACACTTACCCTAACTAAGGGTGTGGTAATATGAGATAGGGAATAAGGGACCCGATCTAGGGAGATCAGTGCAACCCGATCTCCCTTACGCCCTAACGATTGGGTAGTGAAATAGCTGTTAGGCAGTAAGAGAGCTCAATCGATGCTCTGAGAGCGTATAGTACGGAAACTTTTGTAGTTGAATTGGTTCATTGACGTATTCCTTTGAGTACAGTCGAAGGCGCGAAGGCATTTAATGAAGAGAAAGGAGTGTTACTTAATTTTAATTGTATGAATATTTTTTGTGGCAAAAAGAAATCAAAATCTATTTTAATAATATTAATATAATCAGCGATAATAGTAATTAATCCTCAAAATATACAATTGGTAACCTAATTTAGATTAGGTTACCAATACTAACCTTTATTGGACCAGTTTTATTTATTGATTTTTTTTATGATTATTTACATATTTCCCTTTAAATAAAGAGAAAGTTGCCGAAGGATTCAGAGAAGTTTATAAAAATTTGATTAGAATGCATCCGGTGAGACGACTTTTACTTTCCCTAGTTAGGGGACACGCTCACCCTTTCGATGGGGCCCTAAAAATTAGGTAGTGTAATAGCCGTTTCAGTACTTTATCTAGAGCTAGATCACGAACACCGCGTGCGGAAGCGAGTCAGTTACACAGCTCCGGAGTCGGAGTCCGCCCGCACTCAATTTAACGTCTTATTGCGCAAACATTGAGCTAATTTTACTTCAATAATAATCGAAGGCGTAATTTGTTTACGTTTTGAAATTAAATTTTGCTATTTATTACTCTGATTTTTAAGAGCCCTTTTACAAAATTGCACTGCTGCCGTACTGATCGGAGCGTAGGTAGATTTGCACTAGTATACAGGGCGTCCCACGGCTACCTCACACGGAAGGAAAGTATAAATAAATATTGAAGATAGGATATTTTTCTGAAAGAAGACATCATTTTATTTTTAATAATAACTAGAACTGCATTCACAGATTTTTTTAAAATCTCCTGCTATAACTGGGAATCAAACTCGTGAGATTTCGAAAAAAAATACAACATATTTTATGATATCCATTGAAAGGGTTAATCATAAGGCTTATGTTTTGCTAAATAACATAGCCTTTTAAATTAGAGGAATGTCTTATTACGTGATAAAAATAATAAAGTGATATACAAACTGTAGTACGTATGCTTTCTTTTTGAACTCACAGTTACAATGCGATTGGCTGAAATTTATAAAATTAATAATTCCAAAATGGAACACATAAATTTTCAAGCGTCTGTTTTTTTGTGAGTTTTATTTTCATTTATTTGCATTTTTTTTGTTAATATACTTACCACTGCGTATCAAAGTAAAATGGATTTAATGGAAGCTTACTTTATGAACCACAAAGACATATTAGCTTTGCGGTGGTACCTGATAGATACGTACCTTCTCGATATGTTTTTAAAAGGTTAGTAGATACTTTAAGAAAGTAAGGACGTTTTGGTATGCGCTTACAGAAACCACAGCAGTGGATGATAAACGTCTACGATGATGAACTCAACATTTTAACTTACTTTTAGGCGTATCCAATTTTATATTAGTTTGTGTTACATAATTTGAAATAAAATGTTAAATATAATTACTTTTCTTTCATTTAAAATGCTATGTTATTTAGCAAAAAATAATCCTCATGATTAACTCTTCCGATGGTTATCATAAAATATGTTGTTTGCAGACGATTTAAAAAAAAGCTGTGAATACAGTTCTAGTTATTATTAAAAATAAAATTATGTCTTTTTTCAGTAAAATATCCTATCTTCAATATTTAATATACTTGCCCTCCGTGTGAGGTAGCCGTGGGACGCCCTGTATATTGCATTTTACGGGTGATGTTTCGAGTCTTATAAAATAATTATTAATGAAATAATTATAAAAATATATAAATATTTCAGTAGTTCAATGATGGTAGATTAGTTTTATGAAAGTTTTTGATAGTAATTCTATTTAATTCAATATAAAAATATCAGGTAAACCTGCATTATTTGTTTGGGAAAACTCACAGAGGTTAGATGTTTTTTTGATAATTAATGAGATGAAAATCAAAATTATAATACATTATGTTACCACAAAAACATATTTCTGATGTCGTAGTTAATTTGATCTAATTTATTGAACATTATTGAGAGATTGAGGCATTTGAAGTTGTGCATATTCCGTAAACTAGCTGCAGTAGAACGATCAGTACAAATAAAAGAAAATAGTATTTGCAAATATTCTACATTAACTTACAATAAGAAAAAAAAATCTACTGTTTACTTCTATTGGAAATAGTCAAAATCTTTCCCAAGGGGGTAAACGAGGCGCTCAAAAAATTATGATATTTTGCAAAAAATGTGAAAGGGCTCTTAAATACGCCAATCGAGTGTACTTTAACTTAAAAAATAACGAAAAATCGATTTGTTATTCTGTCAACAATATATAAGGCCTTTTCATAGTAAGTAAAACTGAATAAATTTGAATGTAAAATATGACAATAACTGTAAATGACATTTCAATTATTGTATAATAATGAACTCATTACGTTACATACATATCTAGAGATGTAAGGTAAGGTAGTTATAAAGATAAATTAACGTGAGAACTCATATGTACCTAATCATTATATATTAACTACGGAACAGTACCCTTAGTACGAGTTTTACAATTACGAAAACTATGATAGTTTACGTAAGCTAGCACTCGTACTGAGGATACTGATTTTATTGTTTTTGTTTCAATACAAATAAACAGTGTTAAAATTCTATCATGACTCAAATGGACTACTGAAGTACTGAGCCAAGTGAATTAGATGAACTAAATGAACTAGATGAGTGATATACTTCATCTTGTCCAATTGGACTATATCACTCTGTACACTTCGGTGAAGTATTTTGTGCATGTCTAAGTAGGTACTTTGTAATAATACTTTCGTAATTATACCTGCAGTGAATGTGACCTCCGATTGTCATTTGAAAAGATTTTACTACAATGATGATTGCTTAGATATAATTTTACTCATTTATTGTTATCTTCCGCTATAAAGCAGTCCCGCAAAATATTGGTCATATACCGGTACCCATCGTTATACTCAAAAAGTTAATAAGTACACGATTTCAATGGAAATCTTTGAACAATAATATTGATAACTAAATTGTTTTTCACCTTTACAGCGGAGTTGGGAAACAGGTTCACGAACAACAACTGGAGACTGCTCTACCGAGAATTTCTGCCATTCGCTCAAGAAAACTGGAATAAAATCGGTATACGCGTTGCCAACAAAGTTTTCCTGAAAGTTCCTTACGACCAGCTGTTTCCGACCAAGTCTTAATAAAATACCTATGTTAAAATAAGTACTACCTATGTAAATATAAAGTATGTACTAGGTACCACTATTGAATGAATGTTAGTTTAAGATGCCGTAAACATCTACCTGCTTACAATAAAATTGTCTGTGATACTTGAACTTTGGCAAGTTGTTTTTTCTCGTAACCCTCTCGTACCTAACTATCCTTTAGACTCCTGAGTTTTTTTCCAATACATAAAAAAACAACCATATTTATTGGGTTTGTATGCAGTTCTGAGTATGAGAAAAATATAAATACAATGTGGGGAGGTTTTCTTCTGGTTTTTCTTTATGGATTCACACGAGTACATCAGGACCCGATCCTCACCTGAGTACATAAAATAATGGTAGATCAAGGACAGAAAATAATATTTTATTGTACTAAATCAACTTTATTTAATAAAATACAAATCCAAAGATCTGCCATTTTTAAAATACCTAGATGTTTCGTTTTTCTGTATCACAATACAGTGGAGCCCCGGTAATCCGGCCCCTGTCTATGCGGCACCCCCTATAATCCGACATCGTCTATTACATACAAGTATTCGCTAATACACGATTGAATAAGTTACAACTTGTACGCACCATCACTATTGTGCTCAACGCGTAGGGTATTGTTTTTTTATATTTTTTTGTAAATTCTATAGCATTAATGACGTTACATTTATAATAAAACGTAACCTTTCTATTGTGTTGTTTAATTTACCAAATTTGACATACATAACAAAGTATGATTTGTATTCTTATCATTGGATCTGTAATTTGTCGGATTACAAGGTACTCTTTTGTATACTCTCTATAATCCGACAAATATATCGAAAGTTCGACACTGCCCTGCAAAATGTTTGTCGGACTACCGGGGATCCACTGTATTTTATAATGTGTCATCGTTTATAAAGTGGGTACTTAAATAGAATAAAAAAATATAAAATTTGGTCCCATATCAGTTAATTCAAATTTTTTATAAAGGAATTTTGTTCAATTTTTCATCACGGAATCCAGGTTTTATTCTGAATGCAGAGATCCTATGAGCATGACATAATCAAAAAATAATAATATATAAATACTAGCTCACCCGGCGAACTTCGTATCGCCATAAAAATACGGGTGGTAGAAGGGTGAAAATGTTGGGTTATATGTATTTTTAATGTCATATTATAATAAAATAAATGTTTGTTCAAGAAAAAAAAGGGACATGTGCTGTTCACATGCGATAGAGTCCGTGCCGAAGGGATTTAGATTGGAGGGCGCTGTAGTGCTTTTCTACCGTATTTGTAAGGTTTTACCCCTTTTAGACATAATTAAATACAAAAAACCGCAAGAAATCACAACAACAAACAAATCCGTATCAATACAAAACTTTGACGCTTTACAGATTGCTGGGTTTGATTGCCAAATAAAAATCTTAATTCTAAAGAAAAGTTTACTAGAAAAAAAAAACACGCGGACCAGGCAGCGAATAGGGCCGTGGTAGCATAATGGTCAGTGCATTCGCCCGGATTGCGAAGGATGCGGGTTCGAGTCCCGTCCGCTGCCTGGGGGCCATTCGCCTATCGGAAATGCTTGGAAAACGCTAACGCTTTCGATTTCATTTTGTTATTTCTGAACGCCAAAGGTTTTCAAATACCTCACGCTCATTTTCTTTAATATTGTTATTACCAATGCAAAAGAAAAAAAAAGAGCGCGAGGCTTTTGAAAACCTCAGGCGGCTAGAAATAACAAAATGAAATCGTAAGCGTTAGCGTTTTCCAAAGCATTTCCGTTAGGCGAATGGCCCCCTGTGAGCCAATCGCCTAACCAGATTGCTTTGGAAAACGCTATCGCTTACGATTTCATTTTGTTATTTCTAACCGCCGAAGGTTTTCAAATACCTCACGCTCATTTTCTTTAACATTTTTATTACCAATGCAAAAGAAAAAAAAGAGCGCGAGGCATTTGAAAACCTCAGGCGGCTAGAAATAACAAAATGAAATCGTAAGCGATAGCGTTTTCCAAAGCAATCCAGTTAGGCGATTGGCCCCCTGGTCCGCGTGGATTTTTTTCTAGTAAACTTTTCTTTAGATTTAAACATCTAGCAGTTAAATGCTTAAAAATAAAATAAAATCATAACTATAATTGCTATTTCTTCTTTCAAATGTTTAATACTTGAAAAATTATTCATTTGACATTGTGGGTTATCTACAATGCGAAGAGATGGCGCTGCCTTGCAGCTTAAGACTAGGAAAATTTCGACGCGGCTAATAGGGCCGTGGTAGCATAATGGTCAGTGCATTCGCCCGGATTGTGAAGGATGCGGGTTCGAGTCCCGTCCGCTGCCTGGTCCGCGTGGATTATTTTCTAATAAACTTTTCTTTAGATTTAAACATCTAGCAGTTAAATGCTTAAAAATAAAATAAAATCATAACTCTGGTTGCTTTCCAATTACAGCATTATTGCGTATTATGCGGCATAATGCTTAACGTTGAGTGTTCCAACTACAGCAACGCTTCGCACAATTGAGCACTCACAAAAGTGATGCTTTCGTGTGATGCGTGCAATGGTACCAACTTAGAGAAAGAAAATTAACAAATGTTTTTTCTTTAAGTTGGCATTGATCGAAATGTTTTATTTATATGTTATCGTTAGTAATATTATTTATTTTTGAAAAATTTAAAGCTTTCGTTTCATTAAATAGTTTTTTTAAATAATCAAAGTTCATTCAAACTGTTAAAAAATAAATATAAGTATGGATGAAGGTACAAACATTGACTTTTAATTTTTCAACACTGAACTTAGCGCACTCTGCTGGTGCATTTGAAAACTAATTCACGTTCCAATTAAGCATCAGCATAATTGGGCATTGTGCGACACTGAGTCGCATTATGCTCTGTAATTGGAAAGCATACTATAATTGCTATTTCTTCTTTCAAATGTTTAATACTTGAAAAAGTATTCATTTGACATTGTGGGTTATCTACAATGTGAAGAGATGGCGCTGCCTTGCAGCTTAAGGCTAGGAAAATTTCGACGCGGCTAATAGGGCCGTGGTAGCATAATGGTCAGTGCATTCGCCCGGATTGCGAAGGATGCGGGTTCGAATCCCGTCCGCTGCCTGGTCCGCGTGGATTTTTTTCTAAAGGTCTTTATGTAAACTGTGAGTAGAGTGGAGTCCAGTTACGAAAGTAACTGATGCGTCAATGACGTGCCAGACGAATGTTACGACTGTTATAGTCTCTTCTTGTCACTCCCTATAAAATATGATTAGGATCATAGCGGGCCCGCTCTGTGCCGCTATCTTATCTACTCTACCAAAACGACAAACAGCAAACACGAAATAGATAGTACAGAAGGTAATATACATACAAAGTGCGCTCGAGCAAAGCACACATACAATAGACACCACTCATAGACCCGATTGCTCGGACCACTTCGGACCACTGCAAGAGCGATTTCTATTAGATTGAGACACGTGTCCGTGAACTCTTACGTGCAAAAATGGAGCAACAAAAAAAAATATCTAGTGGACGGTTATTTGAATGAGGAGCATTACTAGGTAAGCAAATCTACTCAAAATCAACAGTATAATGATCTCATAAGCTTTTTAATTAATATACCTCCTTCTTTGTACCTAATATAATAATAATACCTTTAAAATTTAAATACTTTTAGTTATTATTGGTTTTAATTTCCATTCTTCCTGTTTCATTCGCAACAAATCAAACAACCATAGTTTGACCGCTTAACTGAGTCCTCGCCTACGGGGTAAAAGGTGTGAGGCAGGACGAAAGCAGGGTTCGTGAGAGGTGAGGGCGGCAAGCACATTCTTGTCAAAGTATACCTATAGATACGTGCCAGTGCTATTACTACGATTTTTGTGCAGAAGTCGATGTTGACAATCCTAGCGGTAGGTATAAAAAGTAGTAGTAGGTAAGGTACATATATGAGATTACCTTCTGTATAACGATTTACAAATATATGGAAGCATTACTGTATAATCAATAAACAAGTAAACTTAAATACTATTGATGCATTAGTATTTAAGTTTACTTGTATGAGTTTTAGAACTTTGTAAGCATGTTTTAGCGGCTTTTGTACAAGAATTAAACAAAATACTTTGAAAAATCAAATATCTGCTAGTTAAATTCAAAAATCCGGTTACCATTCATTGGGTAAGATCATAGATAATGTTAAATGGAAATCCCAACCAATCCCATTATCGACGTGTTGGTCGCATTTTTTATATCGCAATTTGCGTTGAACCGCTATCTAGCGCAGTTGATATTCTACATTATTTCTAATTCGCTGCTTCTGTAGCTGTACTATATTTTGTGCAGCAAATACGAGTATCCATGCGAATTGTCAGCACAATTTTTATTTGCCGATGGCAATATTGACTTTGCCGGTCGTCACTTCCATTGGTATATTTACTTTACTCTTTGTTCATAATCGTTCGAGATAAAAGAATCAAGTATTTTTTCGAGAGTTATATTAGTATACTCTATGCTAGAGTTTTTGGCAGGATTTCATCGAGTGCAGTTGGCGTCTTATTTTAATTATTCTTAAATTCGTTCATACTGGATATTGTGAAATAAAATTGGTGTGGTTTTGTGTAACAACCGTCTGCGTAACTGAAGAATTAGTGGAATCGTTAAAATATACGCTATTCCGGTCAAGTGGACGTGAGAATTTTATTGTAGTGTTGACTACCTCACAGAAGCTTATCGAAAAAGCCAACTCGATACATTTTGTGCCAAACACTCCAAGAAACATTAGAATGCGTCACACCGACATTGTAATGTAAAAACAAAAAAGAAGATTAATTTAATTAAAGACCAGGCTGTATGGGCATTGTTCCCTTTGCCTTCCCTAAAACGGGAGAACTTCAACAACAACAAGTATTTTTTCAGATGCGTTTTTAATTTATTATTTGATAAACTGTGACTGAAAGTGATGAATAATGGCTGTAATAGTGAAATATTTGATAGCTGGTTTAGTGAGATATTGGCTTATACATTTAGATTATTGGCAAACTATAGCCAATAGAGTTGAAATTGCTACACCTTTAAATTCATGGAAGAGGTTAGTCGAGGGTGTATATTTGTACGATCACAATATAAATCCATATGAAGGAGATTCCTTTCATGAGTCGCCGATTATGCTGGTTATCTTCCACTGTTTACTAAAGAGGGTGCCATATTTACTTCCTCTTCTTTTCACTGTTTTGGACCTCCTTACAGCTTATCTTTTATACCAGACATCTAAGTCATTTATGAAGATTTTTATAGAATCACAAAAGAAACAGAAAAATGATATAGCTGATGAATCTAAACCAATGCTATTAAATGAAACACAATTGAATGAAGCAACCGAATATGTGTTATCTGTGTACTTGTTTAATCCGTATTCTGTTCTGAACTGTGCTGGAATGACTACAACAGTTGTACAGAATTTGCTAGTGGCAGCTTCACTGTGGAATGCATCAAATGGACGTGGAATATTGGCTTGTATATTTATAGCCCTCGCTACACATCAAGCTTTGTACCCTGTACTTCTGATAGTTCCAATTGCCATTTTATTAGCAGATGTCAACAAAGGTTGCAATAAATGTTCCTACATCAGGACACTTCTTGCATTTGTTCTATGCTGGGGATTTTTTATATACATCTCTGCATACATTATGGATGGGTCTTACAACTATGTACACAATACTTATGGATTTATGTGAGTATTAAGGTATAGGGGTTTTTCCTTGTGTTTTGTAAATATTTAAAGAAATCTTTTAAGGCTGTCTGATTATATAATAATACTTAACATTAATTAAAGTATTCTTTCCATTTACAGATTGACAGTTCCTGATTTGAAGCCAAACATAGGCCTGTTCTGGTATTTCTTTACTGAAATGTTTGAACATTTCAGACTGCTATTTGTATGTGCATTTCAAATAAATGCTCTTGCACTCTATGTAGTCCCACTGACATTAAGGTTCAAAAAGGAACCAGTGCTTCTGGCCACAGTACTCATAGCACTGTCTACAATTTTCCGGTCATACCCCTGCATTGGAGATGTTGGGTTTTATTTAGCACTTTTACCCATGTGGAAACACCTATTTACATGTAAGCTTCATAATAAAGTATCTACAATTTTTTCAATACTATGTTTGTAGGGAATGCAATACTGTGATCCTGAAATACATTACATACATTTTGTTGGACTAATCTCAGTCTAAAAGGTTCCAGTTTCTGCTGGACTGGTGGGAATACAAAGTAAATGATTCATATGTGTTACTTAAGTGTAAAGATCCTGGATCCAGTGGGATTAAGTTAATTCAATCCCTCAAATACTTGGATTGAAATCATCTTTGAGGATTGCATTACCTATGTGTATGGCAGAATTTTAATCTATATAATGTGGTTTTGGTCCTAACCTATTCCCACTATTCCACGCATGGGGAAGACCTGTGCTCCACCAATGAGACAATACACTGATGATTGATATGTAAAAAAAACTTTATTATTTTCAGTTATGCAACAAAAATTCATAGTGGGATGTGCATTCATCATTACCTCAGCACTTGGGCCCACAGTTTGGCATCTCTGGATTTATTCTGGATCAGCTAATGCAAACTTCTTTTTCGGAGTGACATTGTCTTTCGCCACTGCTCAAATATTCCTCATTACAGACCTCTTATTTGCATATATCAAAAGGGAATTTACTCTCAAACATGGATCATCACGGCAAGTTGAAGGAAAGCCAGCCAAATTAGTGTTACGATAATGATAGTTTGTAATTTTTATTCAGGTGATAACTTGCATGTATTGCGCAGCATTTAATGAATTTTATTGTAATGAACAATTCAATTTAAATATTTGCAATTACTTTATACTGTCATGACGGTGTTAAAATGTATTATGTCAGTAAATGTTGACTGCTTTAATTTTGTGTATTGATTTCTCAAAAGGGAGAAAAATTGTATGTATGTGATTGACAGTACAGAAGAGCAGCTGTGTTTAAGATTTACATGCTATTTTAATTATATTTTATCAAAGGATTTAATTGCTTTATGTATTCTATATGAAAAGAAAATTTTACTAGAAAAAAGTTCAACTCCCAGTTACCAAACTTTAATTATTAAGAGTACCAAAGGATACTTTGGTTCAATTCGAGGTTTGTGTTCGCCTGGATAGTGAGGAAAGAATTTTTCTAGTATACTTTTCTTTATAATGGTAATGTTAAAGTAAAATTTAAAGGACAGCTTCAAACTAATTTATTGAACTTTTTGAAATAAATTCTTTTCCTCCTCATAACAATAAATATTAAAAAAGGAAGGTATAGAAAATACTATTTGTAGGAATAATTTAACTTGTGCATATGGAATACGAGTTATTAATTTAAGACATGGTTTTTTTACTAACTGCAAGTAAATTTATAGTTTGCCAAAAATCTTATCACTTTATGTTAAAAATTCCAGTTGTTGGAATCAGATATTCCTTCACTTAGGCCAAATGGCATATCTAGATCAACAGCAATGAAAGCATCAAAAAGGGGAGCTGAAATGGTATCTTTTGGTTGTGATGCCTGAGAACTTTGGTGTTTTCACTGTTCCAAGCAATTGCTATACGGAAAAAATTATATTAGTTTTAGCTTTGCCATCCTCAAACGGCGATGCGATGTCCTTGTACGGACAACAGAGTAATCCTATAAGACTTGTTTTTTCTTTGTATTACGGAACCCAAATAATACTAAGATTATAATAATATGAAATATTACTAAATTACTTTAAAAATCCGTCTGAATAGGCTAGTAAAAGTTCTTCATTGGAAGGATCAATTTTTCAAAAAGGTTGTGTTAAGTTAATATTTATATGGTTTTGTTAATTTGTCGTCAATTTCACAAATAATTCTAGGATTCACCTTCTCACACTCTTCTAGGATTATATAGTCACAAGCTTAAGTGTTTCCGATTTATTTACTGGAACAAATGCAAATAAATTATACGCTAGATGGCGTATAGAAACGCCATAAAAGTTTTTATTTGTTCAAAGGTGATGATGTAGTCAAAAAGCCACTATACCCTATATATAATGGGTCAATTACACTTGGTCGCTAGCGCGTATTCTGGTGCACGAAAGACATTACTCGATTTCGGGCACCTGAACACTAGAATATGAACTGAAAGACGGTGTCGAGTAGAAAGTGCAAAACGAAAACTACCCGAATAGCATACTCAACTCCATTCAGTTCAGTTTCAGTCGGTTACCCAAATCCATTGGCAATCGCATTTGGGCTAACGACCAAGTGTAATTGAGCCATTGAATGTATATTGGATTAGTTTTTGTTGCACTTTACGTTACTAATGCCTATTGCATTTTTTACTTTTGCTACTACCATTGCAATTATAATACTTGTATAATTATATCACTATTATTCCATACCAAAAATTGTGTAATATTTATTTTATACTACAACGACCGGGCGCAGCTTCGTCCGCGTCAACTTAAGGTATTTTGGGATTCCCTCGGGAACTATCTGGGACGAAAAGTGGGTACTTTTATTCCGAAACAGTGTTATGTCTCTTTCCAGGTTAAAAATTGGCTGTGTGTAAAATTTCATTAAAATCCGAACAGTAGTTTTTACGATTGAGTAACAAACATACAATGAGGGCTAGAGGCGCTTGTGTTGCGTCAGGTCTCCGAAATGTCAAATGTTATAGCTTACGGGTTGACTACTCGGTATTTTCTAATTAAAATAATAGTTGTGAATATTTGGTAATAAATGAGACTTATTATGCCAAATATGAGTTACGTGTCAATGATTGTCAGTTATTTAAAAGCGGAGCTAAGAAAAAATATTGTCCTTTTTTCCGAACAAAACGGGACTGCGCAACACTGTGGCATGGGTGATTATGTTTAAGATACGATTCTTTTGTATTAAAATGTAAACTTTGATATCACGAGCGTGTTTACTAACTTTAAAAGTTACACTTCAGGACCTCACTCAACAGTGGCGCGTGGTGAGACAAAAAACCATAGCCCTCATTACTCAAACATACAAACTTTCACATTTATAATATTAGTAGGTTATAATGTACTTATTATTAAATTAATTCCGTTGAAAATCTTTATGTAAGGAAAAAATATTGGTTTACCATTTAAAGGCCATAATCGCTCTAGTATAAATCAATAATGCTAAGTATCATGATTGAATGCAAGTATAAAAGGAGATTGCTCAGCTTCCATACATGTTTGGCCTAAAGACCAATAATCACGAAAAATTGTTTCCTAGATTCGAAATTATATATAAATTACTGTAGAAACGAATATTATTGACGGACTCTCCTGAGAACTTCTATAAACCATATACACTGAACATATTAAAATAATAAAAAACAAGTTATATAGTAAACTAGGGAAATCAAGCCAAGTACCGAAATTATGGATTAGATTCAGGTATATAGAGCATGAAGAGTAACAGATAGTTGCCTGTTTTTAAAGTTAATGCATAAGAGTAACTTTTAAAATCAGGTGTCATTTCCGGTTATAATAAGGCACTCTGTGACAGAAATTGTGTGATGATTGTGAAGGAGCCACAGATTAGAGAGAATTTTTAAACTCTTGTTAACCAAAGAAAGCTAAGAGATTTAGGTTATATAGCCATATATTCAGTAGCTTCATTATTTTTGTTATGTTTTTAATATAACCATATTTAAGATTTTAAGTGTATCACACCTTATAATTTTATTTATTTATTAATTTATAGTCAGGCAACGTAGGCCCATAGATAGATACCTTAAAGTCTAACATATATACAGATTATAATGTGTTTATGGAGGTGTTTGGCAAAAAATGTATGGCAATAGACTTTATGATGTCACCTATCATCTATAATAATTATCTGAGCACATTTGCATCTAGTGAAAATGATAATATAGTGGTGGATATTAATACCACAGTGTAATAAAAAAAATGATTTATTTTATCGATCTTTACAAAATAGATTTGTTTTTATGTTAAATAAACAACTTCGATCATTCTTTGGCTGAATGTTACTACACCCATAGCCATTAAAAATGATTCGTATGTTTTTCAAACGGGTAATATTAAAAGTCCTTTTTAAAGTAAATATATTATACAAAGGTGTCCGTTGAAATATAATGACTGTAAATTAAATTATAAATTACGCCAAGAATTACCGTGTATGTCAATATTTGTTGTGCATTTAGGCCAATTTGAGCAATCTCCTTTGTAAACTTTCTGGAACACTTGTCATGGATGAGTTTGTACATTCAATGTAGCTTAGTAGGTAGATTTTTATTTTATACTGAAAACTTTTTTAACTGTAGAATCATTCTGTGTACAGTTTAGGTACACAGAATGATTATGAATGATCTTGAATTTTCTTAATTGTTTGTGGAGGTTATAAATTCTGGGTAATGCTAGATAAGAACCCTTTTTTTTGTTAACAAGAATCGGAAAAGGGCCTCAAAAACTGAAGACTGGACAGTTTTGAATATCCTGATTTGTTGTATGTACAAACTGTATGCCTCTTATGACAAAACATTGATTAAAGCTAAACTAAATTGATACCTACTGTCGCCTTTGTTTGCTTTACGGAAGAAAGAGACAGCATTGAGATTAAACCAAGTCTAAGTTTTGTAAGTAAGGTGGTAGTAGTATTTTATTTGTGTTTAATATGTAATTATGGAGAACTGTGAAACTGATGCATTTGCACGTCGTACCTATATAAATAAAAAAAAAAGTATTTTTGTTAAAACTTTTTTTAATTACCTACTTTACCTTTAAAAATAGCAATTACTATCGCAATCTGTTCACTATCTTATCACGAGCCCATGAGTATTCAGTTTTATCTAGCACACTCACAGCGAAACAATGCGTCCTGTGTTTTAGGTTTGAGTAAAATTTCAATAATAACAGTTTGGGAAAATAGTAAAATGAAAGTTATAATACTATTCTTGTTTATTTGCAGTAAGTAGCGGATTAATAGTAATAATAACAAAAGATTAAGAAATTGATCATGTAGCTACTAAATTATGTGTGTGTGAAGTGAACATATCGAAATTAGTTAAGATGCCGATTTAGCTTTGACCAGCAGTTTACTGCTGGTATGGATATAAGTCATCGCCATGTGTAACTTTACAAAAGAGTTTATATCTAAAGAAAATTGTACTAGAAAAAATCCACAGTGACCAGGCACAACTACAACGTACAATTTTCTTTAGATTTAAACATCTAGCAGTTGAATGCTTATAAAATAACTAGCTGTGCCCCGCGGTTTATTAGGGATATTTTCCTGCAGTAAAAGGTAGCCTATGTTAATCCAGTTTGTCAGCTAACTTCATACCAAATTTTATTAAAATCGCTCCAGCCGTTTAGATGTGAAGGAGTAACTAACATACACACTCACAAACTTTCGCTTTTATAATATTAGTGTGATAATATAAGCTATTTAATAGAGTTTATATCTTTAATTCAAAGCACACTTCCGGACACACACATCATTATAAGTTTTAACGGCCCCTAGCTAAAAGTAAATGTTAGATTGAGTAAATAGTCATTACCTACGCAGTTTTGAAGCTGATTTTTTAACAATCTTTTCGTGTGTTTTTAAGATTATTCCTCAACCATAAACATATTTTTTTTTCTACAGACCGTTGTAACTTATAACACTTCTTGGGCCGATAGATGTGTCCCGAAGTATATTAGTTTTGTTAGACTCAGCTATGAAATATTGTGCCCGTAGTGAACGACGGTATGGTGTTACCCAGTATACCAGCTCACTTGTTGGACTGCTATCGTGGTGGGGGTCCCGACCTAAACGCTCCCAAACGTCTCGACACTTTCCTCTCCCTGTTGAAGAAGCTAGAACAAGACTTGAGACTTGACATGAGGATGTTTAGTGGTGCTCTGCTCAGAAGGTATTCGCTGACTTTCTTAATTAAAATTGGAATCATAGTGCAACTCTTAAGTCCACAGTTAGAATAATGTAACGTAGCATCATTGCACACAGAACATTGTTTTGTAAAGAAATAGGAGGAAAAACGCGTACGTGAACTTACGTGAAAAATTGTTTTCGTTTACAAAAGGACCAGTTTATATGATATTGGAAGTCGAAATTTTACTATAGTAGAATAAGGAAAATTTGCAATAATTAAGTGGCTTTGGAATTCCACCGTTTGAACAAATTTAAATGTACCAACCTACCTATCACCTATCTACCACCTTACCTGGGTAGTTGTGCGTAAATATGAAGTTTTTGTTTCAGTTTCCGACTGGACGGTATTGAGGAATCGTCTAATGCTATAGAGACAGAATTTCTGCTGCCATTTAGGGCATCCAACTTCCAATTCCACAAGTATAAACTACTCATGGATCTTTTTCTGCCAACACAAAATCTGCTACAAGCCAACGAGAGTCTATCTTTAACGGATACTTGCCTTTTGCACAGAATTATGAGTTCTACTGTGCGACAATGGGAACGAGGAGATGAGAACCTCGTATGTCCATTATCTATACAGCAGAGGCAAACTATGGCTACTCAAAGTAGTGGTAGGTCAGTTAAATATTATAGGTACAAAACCGAAAATCGTAAAATTAGTACTTAGGTGCGTTTACTATTTTCTTATCTGTTTCATTTATTACTCATGCAGAGTTCATAGCCGATGCCCAATAGAAGATGGTGTCATTCATACAGACTGGGGCCCCATCGCTCCTGGTACCTTAGTAGCGGCGATAGCGGCCTCTCTAGAGCCGCAGCGGGTTTCGGTGACTGATATCTTGAATGCGGACATATTCAAAGCTGGAATATCGGAGCCTCTCATGGCTGAAGCCATACAGGAATGGTTTGAGGATATAGAGGCTTTCAATGCTGGAGAACAACCGAATGTCCAAGATATAAGTAACGTTTGGGTCGCTACACTTGCTGGTAAGCATGAACATAAATTGAGCCTTAAAGTAAGCATGGGATGTAGATAGGTACCACGGTCTTATAACACACTTGAAAATTAGATGCCACGTTGCCGCTCTCCACTATACCATATACATACCTATTTTGAGAGAATAGAAATTAATAAGTTTTCGGAAATCGTATGAATATGAACACAGTTTTACCCACCATGGGCCTATTACCCACTGACTATTAATACGGGTGGCGAAACCTAGGAAAAATCCTAGAGTGGCGGCTGAAATGCAAAGAGGAAATAAATAAAGGCATTCGTTACTGAGCTTGGGAAGCAAGCGAAGTGTGCACTCGGCTACAGATATAAATGTAATGAGAAGTCCAGGATCTAAAACATTCTAGCCTACACAATATAATAGACTAGGTCCTTTAATAACGGTCAAACCTGCCTACTGCAAAAAAGAAATATCTTCTTACACAAGTTTTCTCTGTCGCAGGTGATTTAGCAGAGGTAGTTGTGAATCAGGGCCCTGTAGTGGGTTCAGTGCCGAGTAAACTGGTAGTGGGCAGCAACAATAGGTGGAACGATACTTTTCTACCTCGCGATTACTATTTACTACCGCAAAATGCATCTGTTACCGATTGGCATTTTACTGATGCAGAAATCCTTGCTGGCATTGATGGTAGGTACCTCTAAATAACGACACTGTAAACAATAATATACCTAGGGAGAATAAGTTTGTTCTTGCTGAGTTTCTTGCCGGTTCTTCTCAGTACAAAGATGACCTCACGCCATAGATTTACGAAGCGATGGCGTAGCTTCTACACATTCATGAGGGCTTGTAACAGCCTAAACTGAATAAATGAGTTTGAATGTTTAAACCTAAACTATTAAGAAACTGGAGATAAGTAAGTATTAAAAAAGGAAACAATCTAGTATATAAAATTCTCGTGTCGCGGTGTTTGTGGGTAAACTCCTCCGAAACGGCTTTCCCGATACTCATGAAATTTTGTGTGCATATTGGGTAGGTCTGAGAATTGGACAACATCTATTTTTCATCCCCCTAAATGATAAGGGTAATCCACACCTAAATTTCTTTTTTGCGATTTTAGATATATTTTTTTTTATTTTTTTATGATACATCATACAAAAATACATACAACCCTAAATTTTCACTCTTCTACCACCAACCCCTATTTTTTTATGGCGGTACGAAGTTCGCTGGGTCAGGTAGTTATATATAAATTTTAATAGTTTTTACTGATATTCAACTATTAAGTAAGGAATATAACCACGATAGCAAGTCAGATAACTGTATAATCAATCGTATATTACACCTCTACTATTCCAAGCTTGCACCTGATGCTATACATGTTGATATAGATACATGTTGTAAAGAAATATACATTTAGGAGGAGCTCGATGTCGCAGTAGTTGGTGCGTTTGGTCTACGATTGCAGCGACTTTGGTAACCATAACCAATACATTTTATATCTTGAGCTCCTCTGCGTTTCACGTTGGTGTCATTACATCTAGTCGTTCTTGCGTAGACCGACCATTGGGCCATCTTTGTGGGTCATAGCCCGTTTTATCCATCCACAGGGTAGAAATGTGCCCAAGCAGTAGGTACATAAGAATATTAAGTAAAAGGTGATAAATTGCAGGTCTAATAATTGCCAACTACCTACCGAATTGGATTGAGAAGAGGCGTACATTAAGGCTCTCTCAAATAATAGACATGTACTATTCACACGAAGGTATATCTTTCAATTCGACTGTAAGGGCTTGCAACCGACAGAGTTTATTCAACGAGATATTCAGAAGAGAGACGTTACTTTCTGAGGTGTCTAAATTTGCACAGGTGCTATCGCTACGCCAAGTAACTTTGTATGTGCCAAATGAAGAAATGGACAGAATTACTGAGGCTGCGGTGTCGGCATTTATGACATATGCACGTAAGTCCTACTTTCGTTTTATATGACGCAGCCAAGACCCAACAAAATGCTCCAGCCTTATAAGAGTGGGATAGATTTACATGTCGTGGCGTGTCGACACGTAAATCTGTCTTCTCTAACCATAGTAAATGTATGAAATCGAAATGCGTCACGACACGCCACGACATGTTAATATGTTTCTGCCTTTAGCAGTATGCCACTAAAGATTCTTTTCTTCCATTTGTATTCCAGCTTCGTTACTTAGGCGATATCACGTGGATTGTCATGTTAGTACCAGCGTGCCCGATATGGATGTACTGGTAGCTACAGATGGCGCCTGGGCGCGATATGAAGTGGAGCAATTTATATCGTGAGTGCTTATTTACACTTTTCACTTGAAGTAAACCACATAATTACTGAGCTTGATTCTGCGCCCAACTGCTGCTGGGGTAGGTATAGAGGCGTTGCAAGACATAAAACTTCTCACATGGAAAAACCAAGGGCACTATACTAGAAGCATGCAGCAACTTCCGTAGACTTCTGTATTTCTTGGAGAAACTGGCATGGCAGAACTGATGTCTTACCTCACGCAGAATTGGCACATAGTGTAGTTGCTCCCCGAGGTGATTTTCTGTGGAAATTCTATTTGATGGATAGTACAGTCATTTGGTGAGAAATATAGTGGTTACCTAAAATTGGTAATATTATAAATTTTGAGGTGCTCTTTCCGAATTTCGACTTTGCCAACTCGTATTTTTGCCGCTCGCGCCGCCATATTGGTTCAAAATGTTCGCCGCGATTTCTAACACACGCACGGGCCGTGTTCTTACTTGTTGTCGTTATTTTCAACATCATCTCCTGTTTCATCGTTTGAAAAGCTGCATTTATTCTTTCTATTAATTGTTCTTTTGTGTTTATCTCCACATGAGTTTGAACACTAGTTTAAAGGACTAGTTTTAAGTCGGGCCAAGGAACTATCCTTGGCCAAAATTGAATCCTTAGCTGAGGATCTCCTTCTTCCAGACCTTGCACGCCTGTGTCCTGGAACGGATACTTGGTATTTTGGTGCATTGTATTCCACACCTTCCAATGTGAAATGTATTCTCATAACACTTTATATTTATAATAGCTTTTTTATTCTCAATTTGGTATGTAGGTCCTATTTTCAATGATTTATAAGCTATCCACATAAATTATTCAAGATACATTAATGAAGATTCCGGTGCTCCAATATTCGAAACTGATCGAGAGGTCATCTTTCAGCAGGACGGGTGTCCAGCCCATTGGACTTTAAATGTAAGAGAGCATTTAAATAATTGCTTCCCTGATAGCTGGATCAGCAGATATGGCCCAATCTCTTTGCCTGCTTGGTCACCTGACCTTACTCCAATGGACTTCTTCGTGTGGGGTCAGGCCAAGGAACTAGTTTACACTCATGTAGAGATAAACACAAAAGAACAATTAATAGAAAGAATAAATGCAGCATTTCAAACTATGAAACAGGAGATGATGTTGAAAATAACGACAAAGGAAGTAAGAAAACGGGCTCTTGTGTGTGTTAGAAATCGCAGCGAACATTTTTAACACGAAAAATAAGTGATTTCAGTTTAAATTTTGTTTTAATTTATTCATCTTAAATTTAAAAAAATCTTCCTCAATTAGGATTTCTGGTCTTAGTTTCAACAATTTCTAACCAATTTGCATAAACAATACCTCAAAAGAAAGTACAATAACTGAATATGTTTTTAAAAAGCTTTGAACAAACAAAACACCCTCCGTGTTTTTTTTGTAAGCCTAAGATAAACAGCTTTTTACCATTTTAAAAATTTACGATAATTTTAAATATCTGTAAAAAAATTGTTTGCTGATACAGATGTTTTAAACTCTTTTTCTTAGTTTGCTTTCACATTTGTTTTATGAAATAAATTCAAAAAGAATTCATTTATTATGTCAGTTAGCCATTATTTGAACTAACTGTGTACTTTTAGGTTTTTTTCTTTAAAATCGTTAAAAAAAATTAAAAATAAAATGGTCAGACTTCGTCTATGACAAGTATGGCTCAAATGTTTCTAAATGATCTCTGTTAGCTTTCCTTTAAAGCTTTGCACTCATCTTCCAAACACCCTGTATACAAAATGAAACTAGAGACAATTGCCTACAATATATGTATCCACCTTTTTTTTCATGAAGTCAATAGTTTTGGAGGACGAGCGCCGCAAGTGTACTCCAACGCGCACTTTGGCCAAAAATACTCATTTCACTCACTTCACTTTCTTCCAATGGATTTGTACAAATAAAACAGTTTACTGCATTAGAAGCCATAGCTGTATAAATGTAAACGACACTGTGAAACGATAGACTAGTATACTGATGACTCAGACTAAATAATATTTCTCTTGAGCTCTACCGGCAGATATATATATATATATATATATATATTATACGGGTATATTATTGTAAAATATAATATCTATAGTCTGTATTGTTTAGATTTACATTAATTTTATAACTCGCAAATATAATGAGTTGAAATTAATTACTACAGGTTGCATGAATAATGAGTAATGACCAAAGCGCGGCGCTCGTACGCCAAAACTATTGACTTTATGAAAAAAAGGTAAGTAACTACATAAATTATAGGCAATTGTCTCTAGTTTCATTTTGTATACAACTGTTTATAGCGTAAAATGAGTCGGAAAGGAGATATTGTCAAAAAACTTTAGGCGCTATTTTCCAATAGGGCGCGGCGCGAGCGGCAAAAATACGAGGTGGCAAAGTCAAAATTCGGAAAGAGCACCTCAAAATTTATATAATTACCAATTTTCAAAATCCCGGAAAACTTTCCAGGTAAAACTACCAAATGACTGTATTAGATACTTCTAATACAGTATGCGTATATACTACTGTATAAAAAATTGGGCCTTATTTTGGCTGGCATGATTCTTTAAATCTAAAAGTAAAGGAGATAGCTCAAATTGGCCTAAATGCACAACAAATATTGACATACACGGTAATTCTTGGCGTAATTTATAATTTAATTTACAGTCATTATATTTCAACGGACACCTTTGTATAATATATTTACTTTAAAAAGGACTTTTAATATTACCGGTTTGAAAAACATACGAATCATTTTTAATGGCTATGGGTGTAGTAACATTCAGCCAAAGAATGATCGAAGTTGTTTATTTAACATAAAAACAAATCTATTTTGTAAAGATCGATAAAATAAATCATTTTTTTATTACACTGTGGTTTTAATATCCACCACTATATTATCATTTTCACTAGATGCAAATGTGCTCAGACAATTATTATAGATGGTAGGCGATGGTAGGCACCTCCATAAACAAATTATAATCTGTATATATGTTAGACTTTAAGGTATCTATCTAAGGGTCTACGTTGCCTGACTATAAATTAATAAATAAATAAAATTATAAGGTGTGATACACTTAAAATCTTAAATATGGTTATATTAAAAACATAACAAAAATAATGAAGCTACTGAATATATGGCTATATAACCTAAATCTCTTAGCTTTCTTTGGTTAACGAGAGTTTAAAAATTCTCTCTAATCTGTGGCTTATTCACAATCATCACACAGTTTCTGTCACAGAATACCCTATTAAATCCGGAAATGCATAGATGACACCTGATTTTAAAAGTTACTCATATGCATTAACTTTAAAAACAGGCAACTATCTGTTAATCTGCATGCTCTTTAAACCTGAATCTAATCCATAATTTCGGTATTTGGCTTGATTTCCCTAGTTTACTATATAACTTATTTGTTTTTTATTATTTTAATATGTTCAGTGTATATGGTTTATAGAAGTTCTCAGGGGTGTCCGTCAATAAGCTCAAGAAGCTAGGAAACAATTTTTCATGATTATTGGTCTTTAGGCCTAACATGTATGGAAGCTGAGCAATCTCCTTTGACAACAGTATATAGGTATGTTCTTATCATCTCTATAGAGAATGAAAAGGAGACACTAAAGTCTAATGCAGTTTTAAGTTTAGCGAATCACTTCTAGGGATGAAACGATACGAGTAAATACAAGTAACTACTCGATACTTTTCTTTTGATACCAAGTACTTTTGGCATCGATACTTTAGAACTGAGTAACAAGTAGTATCGTGAAGTAAGTACTTATATTGATACTCGGTCGGTCACTCACTGAGAAGTATCAAAAAAACTCATAGGCAGATTATTTACCCTATGGTAAAGTGTCTAGTTGGAATTTTTGTTGCGTATGATATTCATTCCAACTTATTCAGTCTGTCCGTCAGTATTCGTTCATTGAGCCGATATTTTGTTAATGTTTAATTAAACTTGTACGTGAATTTGAAATTGTAATATTTATCATTCGATACCGAGTAGGCATCGATACTTTATGATCGATACAGTATCGAATAAAAGTATCGATACCTAGATGGTATCATTTCATCCCTAATCACTTCTATACATTATTATCATGCTTACCGTAACTACCTCTGTCGGTGGACAGTTTTACTATCTACTTTGTAAAATAGTATTTCTTTTTCAGTTAAGCAAAAGAGGATGACAGTGTATTTTTTAATTATTTTTATTGGTTTCAGATGGGTGGGCGGTGCCCTAGAGATTAACTTACAACGGAACACACTGGCTTTGATTCATGGTAACACGGGGAATTGGATAGTACCACCTAGTGACAATCTCACAGAGGTTTTCCAACAAATTCACAACTTCAACGACACGTGTAAGCATTTAGGATAAATAAATTAATACGTTCCTAGCAGGTTCCTTTAAATCTAAGACGAAAATTCGGGCGATACCCAATGATATTATTACAGTTGGCGATACGATACCAGAAAAAACATCATACATAATTTATACTTTAATTAAGATGGAATATAGAGTACAAGTAGAATTTTAAATACTGCTGTTAAATATTTACCTGTTTGGAGCATAGTTACCCTTTTCCTAGGTTGAAGATAATCCAACCCCACCGTATTTGATTATGTAAAAGATGGTTACGTATTATGAAGAAGAAGAAGTTTCGTGAAGTTTGTAGTCGTTTGAAGGTACACGACGATTTTTATGGTGTGGGCTTGATTCCCAGCAAGGTAGATAGAAAAATTAGTTTAATATAATGTATCTCCAGTCTGTTTCTTTGGAGTAAGTATCTTCATTGTGTTGGAATTCTATAATACAAGTACTTCAGCTACTTCCTTTGAGATAGACGTGGATTAAAGGACCAATATAAAGTAAGCAGTACAAAATTTTATCTGGTTTTTTTAACATTTTCTTCTTTTTAACACATTATTTTACAGATTTTTTTCGCAGTAACGGAGTTATCGCGATGAACTTTGTAATATTCAATTTCTTTAATTAAAATGACCATTATTTTATCGTTGAATACTTTGTTTGAATATTGTGATAAAGTTAAAGTCTGCAGAGGTCAGGGTCCTAAACTTGAGATGCGGAAGTACTAACTCACGCTAAGGGTGCAGCCTTATTGACCTTTAAATTTACGTATCTATTTATAGGGAACCTTTTTTTTCGTTAGGGGTGTTACTATAAAGTATATTACCTATAACAGAATTACGAATAACAATCACAGTTGCCAATTATATCCAAAGCTCACACAATCCAGATGGGTAGGTAGGTTATTCTAACAGATACCAATATAAGCGGAACGAAGTACTTACATGTGCCAGAGAAATCTGATATGCTTTATTACAAAACAGATTCTGAAAAAAAAATGTTTCATTAAAATACTAGTGAAGCATTTGTCCACTTGTGCCATGAAGATCAGAAATATTTTATTACAAAATGGATATTGTTAATCAGCTTTTGTTTAAAATACTAGGGGTGCCCGCGACTTTGCCTGCGTAGATTTTTTTTGGGACAGGAATGGGATGTTCCCGTGAAAAGTCCCGAGACTAAAACTTTATATCAAATTTTATCTAAATTGGTTGACCGATTTAAGCGTGAAGATGAAGCCGACAGACAGACACACTTATGCATTTATAATATGAGTATAGATTAGTTAGTATAACATTAGTATGGATCATGGAAATTAGTTGATAGATTAGATGGACATTAGTATGGATCCCTGACTAATCATTATTGTTCCTTAGAAATTTGTAGTGATCAGTGAAAATTTTCAAGTTGAAACGATCGCTCATATATTTTTAAGGGCCGAATCGGATGAATCTACCCAACGTATTGTCAAGAGTCATACAGTATTCAAGGAACAAGTCTTTAGAAGAAGCAGCTAGAAACGCTAGTGCTGGCCCTAGTACGACGGTGCTGATCATAAGTCCGGGCGGGAGACCCAACGCGAATGAGCTTCTGAGGGCAACAGAACTCATGCAATCTTTGAGGACCAGCTTCTTCGACGTCTACTTCGCTTACGTCGCCCGCGATCTGACAGATTTCCAGAACTTAAACAACCAGTATCTGGATTACTCGGAGCTGTTTTTATCGGTAAGACGATGCAAGAATAGCTACATAACGAAATATGTTGGCAGTCGGATGTGTTGATAACCTTACTGATACTCAATTAATATAACAACAGAGTGAGCCGTCGCTTTAATTTTATTTTAATCTAAGGCCGTCGTTAATAAATAACCATCCAGAATTGTGACTATTAAAAAAATATCGGAGGGAAATAAAACTTAATTTACTTTAATTTAGGTATTGCTGTGAGATTTTACTGTCGTCAATGAAGCTGTCCCAAATTAATTACGGTGTTTAGACCAGCAACTGCTCAAGGTTGTGCGAATTTGCCATTGCGAGCGTCGCCATAGGTTACCACGCCACACAGCCGCTTTGGTCACCGCTGCAAAAGGTTTCACATCAAAAATAGTTTTTCCTGGAATTGCACCAACTACCTATCTCAATTCTTGCAGATTAAACTAACTTCTTACTAAGAACTCTTTTATTCAATACAACATGTTGTTTTGTAATGGTGCAGGTAACTTCAACCAATGTGAATGACGTAGTGGAAGCGGTCGATACGTTTGTCGTGAAGAACGAAATCCCGACCCGAATATTTGGTGCCCATTGTCCATTCAACGGCACCACATTCGAACAAAGAGAGTACGAAGACTTCGTACTGCCGGAGCGGAAAGTCACTTATAGGATACATCCTTTCCATATGCAACAGCAATCATTGATTAGAGTGCAGGTAAAAGATAGATTTTAAAAGCTCATGAAACGAGTTTTTATTCTTAATTGTTGTAAATATCTTGCATGTGAATTTAAGAGGGCATTTATTGATTGATATGAAATTTTACCCCTGTTCCGTTTCAAATTAGTTACCTAGCTTACCTTTTTACCTACCTTTACCGTACCATTTTACTTACGACACCTTTCAATTTGTCATTTGAAAGAAATGATAGATACTAAATATCGTTGTTCGAGGGAACAAAATATATAGTGCACAAACACACATCTTTCAAACACATTTGAAGTTTTAAAAATCTTCAAAGTAAAAATTTTTAAGGTCTTCGCAAACTTTAAGCTCCTTTGAAAGTTACCTTTATTAATAGGAGCTGAAATAAGACAGCCAAAATAATGAGTGGGTTTTCTCTTCTAGACGATTCAGGGAATATTACTTTTTATTGATTTTTAAGTTTTTGACTTTTGAATCTTTTGAATTCTCGAAAGTTTGAAACCTTTTAATAATCAATTACAACATGTCATATTTCAGTTCCGGAATGCGGGCCAAGGCGACCTCCTCGTGTGCGCGTGGCGAGGCGCTGATTCGTCCCATAGCTGTCAACCTCTTGCCGATCGCGAAACGCGTGTGTTCAACTTGACTGAGCCCTGTCCTACTGCGGACTTCTGCGTGCCCGCCTACTTCACTGTAGCTACAACCTCCACCGCGAACTTGTGTGCACGTAAGAAGAAACTACAGCCCGGCAAACTTCTTGAGCAACGACAGTAGACCAGTGCCTGACTAAGTCCCGTATTACAGATTGACAACTAAGTGTTGATCTTTACTTGAGTACAGTTAGAAAGGGATATCGATATGTGCTATGTATAGCGACATCCCTTTCTAACATGCTCAAAAGTAGATCAATCACTGAGAATCTTTCTATAGTACGGGCCTTAGAATTCTGACCGCCCTAGGCTGACTATGAATATGCGCCCCCCTGCCTGTCCGCTCCCCATCAGGGATGTAAGTGCTGAGATCAGCTATGTGCAGCACGTTCACATCACCGAAAGGAACCAAGGAATAATTCTAACACTTATTTTTACGATCTATAACCTCACTCTCCGGCTCACCAACAAAAATACCCGTGCACACACCAGGGGTCTCCCCTGGTGGTTATCTCCTTCTATTTTATATATAAAATAGTAGGAGTGTTTCCTTTCTATTTTTAACAATTTCATGTTAATAATAAAATGTTATTTAATATTTGGCTTCGCCCCATGCGATAAACAGACTCTTATGTTTTAATACCCCTTCTTATATGACAGTCGTATAAACTACCATTGCTAAATAATTTAAATAAAAAAAATCTATTTTAATATTGATTTCAATACTTTTTAGAAAAATATAGTTAAGAATAAAATTATATTAAAAAAAATACACACTGATAAAGATTTTATCATTTTAATCATATTTAATAAATATTTCGCAAAACTACTAGTTTATTCCATATTTTTTTAAATAAATACATGAATATAAAAAAAATGTATGCTAAAAGAATAATCAACTTGAAGGCCCCGGGGGGATTCGAACCCCCGATCTCCTGTTTACTAGACAGGCGCTTTAACCAACTAAGCCACGGCGCCTCTGGCATTACTGACGAAAATAATAGTCACATTACAAGACTATCGAAGTAGGAAATTGCGATTTCTTGTATGATACGTTCTCCTGCTTGATGAATTATTATCTTTGTCTTCTCAAGTTTTTATTTCTTTACAGATAATGAATGCCGTTTACCACATCAAGTTGGCTACTATATAACGCACACTGGTCTTCGGTGCTTGCCTCTGCGAAGTTCCTCAGAAACTCTAAATAATGATGTTTATCTTATTTTATTTTTGTTCTTGGCTTATTTTATAAACTATTAAAACAATTAAGCTATAAAAATTTGTTTTTCTTACTTTTAAAATTTAGTATAACGAGTTTAACAATTAAGTATTAAACGCCCAATTCATATGTTAGCAGATGTAAAAAAGATCTTTAATTGTACCCCTGGTGGGACTCGAACCCACAATCCCCGGCTTAGGAGGCCGATGCCTTATCCATTAGGCCACAGGGGCTTATAGTAATGTAGCAAAAAGGTTATACCATTCTGAAGAACAAGTCATCTAAATACATATTGTTTTTCAAAATTATAAATTATTTTGTACATTTGTTCTTACAGTTAATAAAAAACTTTTATAGTTTTACGTAAATAGTCATTGTTGTACTGAAGAGCAATGTAGAAAGAAGTTAAAATGATCTATTAATTAGAACCCTAGTATGAATTAAATGCAGTTATAATATGTAGATATATATTGAATCAGTGTTAAAATTTCATTAAATTATATTAAAGCGCAACCTAGCACAATAAATTTAAACCACTTTCTGCATTGTCATTCTCTGTGTAGAATAGCTGTAGTTAGTACGGTAGTTCTAACTGCGCTCACTAGATGTCACTAAAAGGTACGTAACGCCTACATAGTAGCCAATACGTTCTTTTAACTTACGACAAGAATAGTAAGTTGTGTTATGATGGTAATAATTAATTTATTGCTTATTTTTATTATACTGTAAGAAAAAAATATCTTTGTTAATCACATATGTACAATTATTTCGACCATAACTTCATCGACTCCGTGGCGCAACGGTAGCGCGTCTGACTCCAGATCAGAAGGTTGCGTGTTCAAATCACGTCGGGGTCAAAAGTTGAACTTTTTGCATTTTTGGCAAATTCCAGTTTAATTTTCTGTATATATTTTTCTTCAATCCCATCAGATTTGAACTACTACAGTCTACAATTTTTTTCTTTTGCTTATCATTTTATTAGTGGTCTATTTATTTCTTTGTAGCCTCTTCACTCCATCCCTTCCTTCGTCATAACATTCAAATTACCTTGCTTTTTTCATGTTTCATGCATCGAGAGTGCGGGCAATGCCATGCGAAGTCATGGTACTTCGCCACAGGCCCGCCAATGTTTGTCCGCTACAGGAGGCCTACTCTAATTCAACGAAAAACGAAATTTCGATCGAAACTTCGCACTTTTCTTACTGTTTCGAGTTCATTTCTAATTAAAATAATATTCGTCGTCGGGTCGGAATATATGTAGATTGATATACTCAAAGAAAGCTTCAATTTGATAGTGTATCGTTCAAATTAAGTATAATATTAAATTGACGAAATTAAATTTCGTTAGAACTTTGTTATCGAAAGTTCGTTTCGGAGAAAAAGAGTAGACCCCCTGGACCCACCCCAATATGCGGCTCCCCGGAGTGTCAGTGGCACCACCCAACACAGGAACCGGTGCAATGCCGACTGGCGCTCCCATACCAGCCCGCTGTGTTTCGGGGGAGCATAGTTCTCCCTTTCCCTCTCTCCTCGCTAACGGCACGGGAGTTGGCACCCCGATCCCCCCTGACTTCCGTTCCTCTCTCCGAGGAGAGTGAAGGAGAGCCGCGGGTAACGGCACCTGTTCCAGTACCGAAGATTCAGCGACCCCTAGCGACAAGAGGGTCGCACCTTGCGTTACTTACGACGCGATGTGACAAGATGGTCGGCCCGTCCCCGCACGTACGGCGCAGCGAGGCACCAACGAAATCCGCTGCCTTGTGTCCCGCTACCCCGCACCGGAAGCTTCTAGGTAAGCGAGGTCAACTAGCATTTGTCTGTATTTTTTTAATAAAAATATTTTAACATATAATATATATAATTATTTAAAATTAAAAAACCATATTATATGTGTTCAAAATGACACACTTTTGTATATACGCTTTTTAGTAAGTTTATATTAAAAAACCTAAAGTCGTTTATTTTGATTTTACGCAGATTTTTTTAGGTTAAGTGAAGACCTTTTTATTAACTTCATTTTTGCGTTGTAGTTTTACCGAAAATCAAGATGAACCGTTTTCCAAAAGGTCGAGAATCGTGATGACGCATTTTGCATTTTCTGAGAAAAATTTCCATAGTAATGTTTGTTTTTGTATACCATAAAAAAGGTTACAAACAACAAAAAAATATATTATTTAAATATCTACTTTTTTGATGGGAGATTTTTCCAATGAATATAAGTAAAAAAAAAATATTGTGAATAGAAAAAAATTAGAGCATACTTGGGACATAAGAAAGTAAGTTTTCACCAAATTCCGTAAAAAAAAATATTTTTTCAAGATAATAATAAAAAATCACAAGGTCGTTTATATTGACTTTATGTAAAAATAAACAAAAGGTGTAGATTTGTTGATCACCTATAATTTTGCTATTGAATTTTTTTTTGGTAGAAATTGTACTTTTCCCGAAAATTGCGTTAAACCGTTTTCACCCTCTTATGAGTCACCTGTAATTTATTTTTCCTTTTTTTAAGTGTTCTCTCATTTCCTTTTGGTATCGGTCCAATCATATTTCGAATTTTTTCGCTCTTAAAAAATATCGGCCCTGGTCTAATAATGTCTCAGGTCCACTCACTTTATTGCTTTATACGAATTTTATTACGTTAAATAATATACATTCTTTATTTTTATTTTCTGTTCTACAAAGGATTTAGAATGTAAGTAAAAAATTATTTTCTCTCTATTAATCACTGATAACTGATAGCCCGTCGTGATAACTATTATTACTTACCAAGATAGCTTGACACAAATTATGATTGGTACCTACTATTCTGGAGGAGTGGCGCTTACGTCACGATGACAACATGTTTCTTATCAATCATCCAATGTGTCGCAATCACAATAGTCGGCTCTTAATGGATAAACATAAAGTTTAAAATATCCTGACTACTCTTACATTTGATACGGCGTTTCAATCTGAAACTGGAAAATCTTCATTCCTGCGCTGCCTTAACTGCGGCAAGGATGCGTGCGTTACTGGGATTTAAATTATGGAACGTACGTGTACGTAATATAGTTCATTTTGGGAAAACACAAGGATTGTAAGTACTGACGTTTCGATGTTACGTAGGTGCAGTAGTCGAGACAGTCAGGTGACCGGCTTGAATGTCTGCGCCCCGGCGCCTTCTCAAATAGCTTGGCTACACGCACACCTTGAACAAATATAGTGTGCGTGCATGCAACTGGATTGCAAGTGTATGGGTTAGGACCACACCTACACAGTACATATTCAAGTTACGCACGTGTGCGAACGAAGATTCGTTAGTGTTCACCTTCGAGGTCGTGTAGTGACTGGAATAATTAACAGAGTTTTTATGAAATGTAGAACAAAGCAATAAAGTTGGCATGTTCAAACATTCCGCTGCCTACAATGACTGTTGATTTCAGCTATATTCAGTCAGACTGATACGTAATAATCATTGAAATGTGACTACATCGGAACTGCTCACCGACTGCGCAGACCGCTAATATAGAAATTGTTAAATGCTATTTATTTTTGAATATGAAATGTGACAGCTTGAAATGAGAGTTGTAGAAACATGCCAGCACACCATCCATAGGTACAAATTACATATTCGTCTTCTTTGCGAGTTTGGACACGTAAACCACGCGCAAAAGAAAAAATCTATACATTCACGAATTTTTATTATGTGAGCGAATACTACAACTACCTACTTAGATGTCAATAACACGTTCGGTTTTGTTCGTGACATTGTGAGTGTTTTTTATTCTAATATGATTATGCGAAAGTGTGTCTGTTGGTCTGTCTGTTCTTTAAACGCTTAAGCCCGGAACCGATAAAGATTTTCCTGTAGAGATAACTAGTTAAGAGTCCCGGGAAAGCACAGAAGATAGTTCTTATCTCAGAACTCGCCCTTTCGAAGTGTTGAAAATAAGGTTGTAAGTTGGTATGGGAAACCATTTTTTCTACGCAAACGGTGTCTCGGGCACTGCTAGTATGTCCATAATTGTGAAAGTAGTTAGGACAGGGAAATATCTGTTCGAATCTTAGATTAAATCAATCGAATTTAAGCACCCGAGAAAGGAAGTATCTCGGATCTCTGCCTACACTGCGTTATGTTGTGTTTGTTTCCGCAATTATTAAAGCTATGGTTTAGACAGAATTGAGACAATAAGTTGACTATAGATTTAGTAATAAAATAAGGCACGAAAAAAACTAACTTTTTCATTTAGTAACTCAAAAAAGCTGGTTGATCGATTAACGTAACGCCGAAACCGCTGGGTCTAGAAGCTTGAAATTTTGAACAAAGTTTCTGACATATGTTTGTAAACTATGGAAGTCGGTATGAAACTTGATAAGCTTATGATTATTATTAAAAAAAGATTCATATTCATTTTTTTGGACATTCTTCCTGTAAAGGGATGAAAATTTATAGGAAACTGTAAATTTTGAAGGCAGAAATGTAAAATTGGTAGATGAGCTTATGGTTAAAAGTTTACTGATATATTTTATTGAAAATTCTTTCTATAGATTTGTTTTAATAGAAAATAAAAGTATAGGTAAGTATAAAACATGAAACTTCATTAATACGGAACTTAGAAGTATGAAAAAAGTTTAGTAAGTACATTTCAATATCATTGGGTTTCTTGGGTATTTTTCCCTTAGCGTAATAATAGTTGAGACGTGTTCTACGAAAATTCGATAGGTTCAATATGTTACCAAACATCCAAATCCGTTCAGTAGTTTTTGTGTTTCACACATTCATAAAATTTCTAGGAAGTAGGATTTACCTACTCCGCGGAAAATTACCACTCCACCTATGGTAGTTTTCTTCCACTGTTGTAGTTTCTTACGGTCATTTCCTATGGGGGTTTCTTTTTGTCCGTGGTAGTTTTCTATGATAGTTTTCTACTACCTATGGTACTTTTGGTTGGCAGTTTCTTATGGTGCTTTTCTCTCTTCCATGGCAGTTTTTACTCATTCATTTTTTTTACAACTTTTTTTACAGCTTCAAGGGACTGTAGACTGAAATATATGGTTT